AGTGCTCGTTAGAAGTAGTATAATAATATTTATTATGACCCAGAAGAGTCTCGGCGCCGCCGAACGGCGACTGGTCCGTACCGCGGCGCCGTCGCTTAATGCAAGCAACAATACGCTAGGTGATCGTGTGGTACAAATGACCAGAGAAGTGGAAGCGACGGTGGTGGAGATGCAGCTTGTTGTGATGGGAGAGGAAACTGTGCTGCTTGCTAATCACTCCTTTCATCGTTCGCGATCGGTCTACTTGACGCTGATCATCGCACTAGGTCTCCGAACTCGGGAATGCGATTCATTTCGAGCAGATTGGCTTCGTAATAAGTTGTCTGTGCGACGTGCATTCTAGCGCGAGTGCTCGTTCCGCGCAAGAACGCTTCGAAGCAGCGACCTCGAGCTCTCGTGTTTGTGATACACGTCGCGTTTTCCACTTTTGCTCGCCTCCTCCTTTCCTATCATCCTCTCCAGTTTTTACCTTGCTCCAACTTGGCTCTCCCTCGCGGCTTAGTAGAGAGGAGCGCGAACAGGATTACCTTCCCTGCGGAAAACCGAGGCTGTCCTTACGTCGGCCTTACTATCTTGCTCCTCCGAACCAATAGTCCCAAGAGCCATTCATGCGCGACATGCTTATCGAATCACTTCACACCTGGCTGGCGCGCCCCAGCCTTCCAAAACCGGCAGTTCCTGTTCTCAATAGTCCGATCTCAATAAACGTTGGGCGCATGCGTAACGCTGCCATAACCTTAGTTCACAGGACGGAGCCGGCGGTGCACGAGAGGTCTCGTGCCATCTCGTGCTGTACACGCGCAGGACTCCAGCCAGGTGGTCGCACGTGTTTCAAGGCTAAGGTTCCCTCGATGGGCATTGCGGCAGCGATGGCGTGCTGAAACTGGCAGCTGAGATCGATCGGTTGAAGCGGACCGCTAGTTCGAAAGCTGCGAGAGTAGTTTCTGGGGCGTTTAGTCTCTTTCTGACGAAAGGGCGGAGGTGCGTTCTATTTTCGGCCGACTGATTGCGACAACGGTCTGGCACATTTCCGACAACCGTACAAGTTGCGGCAATTTATCATCTTTTTTTTAGAGGAAGTATTGGAAACTGCTTCCATGTGCCAAACGCATTCGTCTACCGAGGTATCGTTTCGGAACCTCTGCAGAAAGTTCTCGAAGCACCACAAATACTTTTAGGATGAGGTCGACGAGCGCGATGGATTAATATTCAATACGAAGAAAGCAGAACACAAACACGGGACAGAGACAGGCATATAAATACAAGCTTGTACATGTCTGTCTTTGTCCTCGGTTTGTGTTTTTTAAGCACGTACGGCTTTGATACGTCTACAAAAGCAGATCAGCAAACGAACGAGTATACTAAACCAGGCAAATCATTAGTGTATTCCAGCCTATAATTTTATACTAATTAACCCTCTTTTAATTCGTATAACTCACTTTAACGAGTTGAATGGGAGATCGAATTTGGCCTTTAATTGGGGGAGAGGAAATAAGTTGAGACAAAGTTCTGCATATGATTGTTACTTCCATTAGCTGTCTGAAATCATGTGACAACTACCTGTACAATGCCGCTCCGCCGGCGACAGTCCGCGGCGGCTCGTTACAAAAATGTTAACCCACCTGGCCCACCCGTACACGCCGTCCCGCGGCCACAGTCGGGCGGCTTGTTACAGAAACAAGCTAATCTGACCTGTCGATGAAACGTCGTTCGATGAACTGATTGCCACCGCCAAGGGGAGGCGACGGCCGACCGGCAAAATTTACGGGGAAATTATTGTCCTGGCTGCCGGGAGAATAGACATCACCGATGTTTATGGAAAGCATGCGCAAGAAATACCCAAAAGAAGGCAATTCGGTATTTTATACGGAACCTCCGGTATAATAATCCTTCTCCAATAAACGAGAACGATTAGTGCGCTTTGAATTAAAAAAACCGTTTTCACTCGCCGCAAAAAAAAAAAAAAAAAAGAAGCAAGAGATTAAAGAATGTTGTAATAACTCACATTTTTAAGCGTCTTTTTTTTTTACGTGTTTGTAACTTTCCATTAATTTTTAATAACAGAAAAATTCTTTCGACGGGGGGCCGACATTCGCCGGACTTTATTTTTCAGAATGCGGGCCTTTCCGGATTATAAATCACCGCGAACATGGAATGCAATGTTCGAGCTGTCAGGCGCCTTTCTTCATCGAGCTCTTCGCAATGATTAGATGGTTCGCGTGCTTCGTTCCCTCCTTGAAGACATTACGTGTATATTTTCGTTTTTCTTCTACGACCGCCCGTGCGCTCCACGTGCACAGTAGCGACGACCGATGTCGTTTGGTGAGCGCGTTCGGGGATGAGCCGTCGTCGGCTCGCGCGGTCTGTCAAGGCCGCGCACTGCATCCAACCCGGTTGAAGCGTGACCGCCGTCCGCGGGAGGTCTCCCACCCCTCGCCGATCGTGACTTCGAATTAATCCCCGGAGCGGGGCGTCACTCGCACGCCTTCATGCGCCTCACAACTTTCGCTTTCAGGTTTTTACCTCGCACAGAGGGGGGAGAGCTTCGTCGGTGTTTGGGGCGACGCATGGGACTCGACGGTTGGGAATACCGCGAGCATTCCTGGATGTCAAACTGCCCCTTGTTTACACTTCGCCTCTCATATAAGGAAACCAGACACTGTTTTTGTGTCGAATGGGGGGAGGACTTTGATCGGAGAATGCCACGGGCAAATAATAATTCAAAAATGCAGGTATCACCAAGTTGATTATCGCCATCGATTAAAGCCAGCAGGGGCCTGTGGCCCCTGCCGGCTATAATAATAATAGTATATATAGTTATTACCACCATTCGCCATAGTACTTATCCACGCCCGCGAAAACAGGTTGATGCTTTTAACGATGTTATCTGCGCTACAAAGCTCCGATCGTTCGACCAAATCGACTAGTAAGGTTCTCTTTTTACTGCTACACTGCTACTTAACTGCGTTCGCTCTTGTCACGTAAGATATCAAGGAAAAAGGAAGTGACACCGAATAACTGAAACGAACAACGAAACTGTAAGGAGGTTGGGGGAAGAGACACAAGAACGCGCGTAAACTTTGCTCGTAATATTTTTTGTTGCCCAAAGAAACCCCTAGATTGAAACTAGATAAGGCGCGCATCTTTCGAGTCGGGGATGTGCTGAAACATGACCTGCAGTGTCTAGTTGAGTTTTGCTTTCGCTACCAACGCGCGCAAGGCTCCGACTACGTTCAGTCTTTAGCGCTTCGATGTTCTCTACTGTCACGACGAAGACGACTCCCGACTGTTTTGACGCGCACTCAGACACGCCGACCAGTTTGGCGATGTCGCAAACTTGCAAGCTGTCTCGCATGCCTGGGTTAGGCGGCGTCAGCTGTTCGAATGCTCGCCGACGAGACGCGAGACTACAGCCTGTCGCTTCGTCGCTTTGTTCGAGGTAGAGGCGCGCGCTTGTCATGGTGAACCCTGTGCGCCTTGTCGCATTCATCCCACAAATAGATGTTCATATTCGGTCTCTTGCACGATTCACGTTCACCTGCATTTTCCCTCGGCAATCAAGACGTTAGAGGAAACTGTTTCACCCAAAGAATCTTGGCTTATTTTATATATATATATATATATATATATATATATATATATATATATATATATATTAGGGTTTTTGTGCGTGATTTTAGCGTTATCTACTGGAGAGTTACCGTGCTCTCTCAACAGACAATATAGCCCAAGAGAGATACGCTCTTTGTTTCGATGAAACACGCACTATCTTGTGATTTACATTACAAACGTGTTATTACTTATGATGTCTAACCGCACTATATTATACTTCTTTTGCGTGGCTTGGCTTCGCCGTGTGCTATGTCGAATCCAAAATGAATAATTTTCATCGTACATATTATACATAAAAACGTTGATCTATTTTAACACCTACAGTGGTTTCTGTCATCCGAATAATATTTCGTTATTGAAGTTGTATTCACTATAATGATAAAAAGCATAACGTCGAAGGCCTTACGATATATTTTTACCCTACGGGCCCTGCGAAAATATAGCAAATGCGTTAATGACGGGCATTACTATTCAGAAAGCTCGTAGTTTACTTTCGCTGCTCTATCCATTCGTTTATTTATTAATGTATTGCTATCGCTAATTATACTTTTCTATGTGTTTCCTTCACACAACAGACACTGAATTGATGCAAAATTACGAGCATGTATACACGTTTCTGCGTCGTTATCTTATCTTGATAATGCAAAACATAGTTTTGCATTGTTGGTGGCATGCACGTTGTTGGGCCGACACCCCCCTTAGTGCGATCACGGCACTACATTGGTGTACATTTAATCAAGACAAATAATTTTTATACAATATTAAGTCCTCCAAAGGCAAACCGCGGAGATTCCAGAAAAAAAAAAAAAATATTGCCGCAAAAACTCGCATATTTTTTTAGAGGGAGTTGTTAGTTTTAACGTAAGCAATATGTCCTGGTCGGTAAACACGCACAACATTTTACGGAATCTGTAATTGTTTCAGCCCTTACCATCGCTAATAGCAAGCAAAGTATAGGTATCCTTTTGAAAAAAAAAGGGTATATATATATATATATATATATATATATATATATATATATATATATACACACACATACAGAGAGAGAGAGAGAGATAAAGAAAATATAGCGTGGGATGCCGAAGACTATAAAGTAATAAAGTCGCACTTCGAAACGTTGTTGGAGTTTTAAAGCATTTAGTGAGTCGACGTTTCGGCCTGAGACAGGCCTTCTTCAAGACTTGAAGAAGGCCTGTCTCAGGCCGAAACCTCGACTCACTAAATGCTTTAAAACTCCAACTACGTTTCGAAGTGCGACTTTATTACTATATATATATATATATATATATATATATATATATATATATATATATATATTAGGCTATTAATTGCCTATTTGCCGCGGCCACGTTCACGAAGCCACGTCCTCTGCTTTTCCATTTGCGCAGATGACGGACCTGTCTCCAGAGCGCAGCACGCCTCCGCCCAAGGCCTCTGCCATGGCGGCCAACGGGGGAGACCTGAACAGCGTGGTCGAGAACCTGGCCAAGTCGTCGCAGCTGAGCAACAAAGCCAACAGCGCGTCGCTCTCGTCCTCGTACAGTAGTTCCGAGAAGCACTCTTCCAGCTCTTCACAGGTAAACAGTTCCCGCCGACGCGTGCTCCAACGTGTGCAATTCTAACCGGTGTTGTTCTTGGCATCAAGCCTGAACGTGGTCGGCAGATAGAACCGCGCAAAGTGTTTATTGATGCACGGCTGATTCGGACCTGAAGGGGTCCGTCCGATCGATCATACGTCATATACAAAAGACACGGTGTTTGCGGCAGAGTTTTTAACAGACGTATATCTTCTGCGCCTCAAGCGCGTTCGAGGCACGTTTGCTTCATACATGTCTACAGACAGTGTTTAAATGACCAATGTGATAGAAGCACGCCTCAGACGCCACTTTACACATGGCTGCCGTACTGGCACCTCCAAAAATAACTGTACCGGACAGGTCTATCCACGATATCAGAATTTCCATTTGTCTTTGAAGCTACATTAACTCGAGCACTCCGTGCTGCTCACTGGGTAACTTCCATTGGTGACCATTTGTGGCCTATTCTCGCTTCTCTAGAAGGTGCTGAAGAGCTCCACGTCGTCGAGCACCAGCTCGGGGTCGCTGCTGAACAAGAAGTCTCAGGTGCTGCACTCGCTGGCGAGTTCGCAGCAGCAGCAGCAGGAGAACATAACCAGCAGCAGCAACTTCAGCCGCAGCGTGAGCGTGAGCAGCAGCTCCAGTTCCAGCAGCGACTCGAGGCTGAAGATGATCTCGTCGCAGCGTGGCTTCTCGGTCGACTGCGGTGTGCCGGAGGAAGAGGAGACGGCCGTGCGCGAGTCTACGCCCTCCGAGGTCCGCTACGAGCAGAAGAGGGTCACCTCGTCGGCCAAGAGCAAGCTGGTGGCCGACGGCGTGACGGCCGAGAAGACTGCCACCAGCAACAAGGAGACCAAGCGGCTGCAGGCGGGCGACGTCACGTTCCAGGAGAAGCAGCATTCCCAGGTGGCTTTCCTCTGCCTTTCTGCAGCCGGCCAGATATCTCGGTGTTGGCGCTAACGTGTTACAAGTAACGGTGTTACCTGTAACGCGTTACTATACGTTTCGGTAGCGCGTTACCCAAACAGAAATGTATAAGCTTACTTATTTTGAGTAACCTTTATCGTACTTAAGTTATTCGTTACTTCCCGAAACTTAAAAAAAAAAAAAAAAAGAAGGTTTTTTTGTGTGTGTTTTTAGGCGCCAAGTTATACGAAGTCTTGCACTCATCGCACATATCCCCAATTTTGCCTCACCTTTTCCCATGGCAACGCTCCCACTTCAGTGAAACCCCAACGCCCACGTCTTTCGCCCGTGGCGAAAAACGCTTTCGCCGTCAATTCATAAATAAAAAGTAACGTGCGTTACCTTATATCCGCAACGGTAACGCTCTCCTTTTATTTTGAGGTAACCTAGGGCTGTAATGCGTTCCTTTTATTTGCGAATAACGGCTTTTCTTTTTTTGTAACGTTTGTAACACTGTTTTGGATTCTTTGCTTTACGTGTGGGCGGGGTATGCACCATGACTAGGGGGCTTTGTAGTTGTCAAATATTCCTTTGGAATGGTAGAATTATAAATGGCACATATACTGCATGTGACTGTGTGATATAGCTGGCACGTGTCAGCAATCACATTCACTCTTCCTTTTAATCTTTATTTTTGTTTGCTAGTTCGAAACATGTCGGTGATATACTTCTTTGTACGACGGGGGTATAGATATCATGACGCCGTAACGATGGGTGATAACGACAGCGCGACGATTTCTGTCTTATCATCACAGAACCAAATAACAAAAACCGGCTCAATTCTGATTGGATCGTTTCCAGGCCGTGAAAGCCCGCTTGGAGGGTGAAGGTTTCGCTGCAGAAAAGGTGGCTGCCATGAAGCAGGACCAGAAGCAGCTCAAGGTGGGCGACACCATGCACCAGCAGCAGAAGACTGCGATGGCGGCAGCCATGAAGCTGTCAACAGAAGACTACACCGCCGAGCAAATTGCCATGGCCAAACAAGAGGAGCACCAGCTCTTCAGTCAGGGTCTGCTGCAGCAGGAAAAGAGCATGGCTTCTGCGGCGGCTTCCAAGCTGGTTGTCAGCTCCAAGGGAGTATCCAAGTCATCCATGTCCCACCAAAGCGTGAAGCAAACAGACTTCAGCGGATCAGGTTCTCCTATTGTCACGTCGCCCACAATGGAACCGTTCAACCTGCCGCCCCTTCCATCCAGCCAGAGGTTAGCACTCAACCAAGGTGTCGCGGAGGATTTTGAGATGCTCCGATCGCCAACCAGTCAGTCCGACGTCGAGAAGGCCATCTCAAGGTTCGCCAGCCGCATGAGTGTCTGCGTGGAACAGCTGAAGACGGCAGACGATGCCGAAGCCATCGAGCTTCTCACCGCTATGGTGGGCATCATCCGCAAGGCGTGGGCGGTGCCCACGTACGGCCACGACCTAGGCTTTACCATGTGCAGTATCCTTCGGCTGAACGGAGGTTTGGATGTCCTACTCAACAACTGTTCCACCGGCAGCGAAGAGCTCCAGTTTGCCAGTGCGAGGCTTCTGGAGCAGTGTCTTTCTACGGAAAACAGGTCCTACGTGGTCGAGCACGGACTCGAGGCTGTGGTGCAGGTGGCCTGCGCGTGCAGTAACAATATCCAGGCGTCGTTTGCGAGAGTCGGCACGGGAATCCTCTGCCACCTGTTCAAGCACTCGGAGACAACGTGTAGCCAGCTGATTCGCATGGGCGGACTAAAGGCGATCCTCTTCGATTGTCGAGCGTGCGACGTGGAGACGTTGCGGCACTGTGCGTCAGCACTGGCTAACCTGAGTTTGTACGGCGGGCCCGAAAACCACCAGGCGATGATCAAGCACAAAGCACCCATGTGGCTGTTCCCGCTAGCGTTCCATCAGGACGACAACATCAAGTACTACGCCTGCCTGGCGATCGCGGCGCTTGTGGCCAACAAGGAGATCGAGGCGGCAGTCATGAAGTCTGGCACACTAGACCTCGTGGAGCCGTTTGTGACCAGCCATAACCCCGAAGAGTTCGCCAGAAGTCACGTGGCACACGTCCACGGACAGTCCAAAGATTGGTTGCTGCGCTTTGTGCCTGTGCTAGACAGCAACCGAGAGGAAGCCCGCAGCCTGGCCGCCTTCCACTTCGCCATGGAGGCCGGCATCAAGAAGCGCCAGGGAAACACGTCGGTGAGTGCTCTAACCTGTCCCTATGCGCGTCTGCGCCGTCGTAAGCGACCTGCCTTGACGAGCCTCGCGTTGCTCCGGCCGACGCAGGTGTTCGCCGAGATCGGGGCTCTCGAGGCGCTTCGCAAGGTGGCCAGCTCTCCCAATGCCATCGCGTCCAAGTTCGCAGCCCAGGCGCTGCAACTGATCGGCGAAGAGGTGCCCCATAAGCTCTCCCAGCAAGTTCCTCTCTGGACAGTCGAAGACGTGAAGGAGTGGGTGAAGCAGGTATACACCTCCCCGTGTTAGTTCCTCAGTATCCTTGCTAGAAAATGTTGCTGAAATCCCACAATTGCGTCGTAAAAATTTGTGCCTCGGGGGTGCGTTGTATACCAACTAGGAACGACAGCGTGAGAAAACAATACAAGTGCTTATCGCTTACACATGAATTGCAAAGCACCTCAGTGCTACGAGTCTTGTTCAGAGCGCTAGCATTTCTTTTTTTTTTTTTTTTTGGCTATTACGTTGAGTGGTAAGCGTTAGCAGGGCACCCATCCAAATACGTGGCTAGATGGCAATAAAGTCCTGAAGCTCGGATCGAACACTTTCGCGCTTATCGACGAGGATAATAAATGTTGCGGAAAAACTGGCTGAAGTGGGACTTTTCATTATCGTACCCAAGCACTTTGCGCTTTTAGCGAGAGCTCGTGCAGTCACTTTGAGCACAGATTGACCACGTGCCCGCAATTCACAGCGTAGGATCTACGAAAAGTTCCTAATGTCGTGGGCCTTGTTAGCCCTATAGTGCTTAAGCATGGTATACACATCGGTTTTGCTTTTACTTTGTCTAACTGCTCGGTTTTGTTGATGCAGATTGGTTTCACGAACTACGCTCCAGAGTTCGTCAGTAGCCGAGTGGACGGTGATCTGCTGCTGCAGCTGGATGAGCCCATGCTCAAGGAAGACATTGGCATCAAGAACGGCATCCTTAGAAGAAGGTACGGTCTATTGCACCACATTCCGAGCTAGTCTTTAACAGTAAGTCACGCGTACCTTAATGGCGTTCTAAGACGTTGAATATCCGACTCGATCTCTGATGGTATGTCTGCGACATTCTAATTGCATGAATATGCCTATAGCTTGCCCAAAATATGCGTACTGGGGTTTCAGCGCAAATCTCTTGTAACAGACGTATAGACTTTATATAGTCGGCACAGTGGACTTGCTGACCGTAACTCGCCGCCTCGCAGGTTCTTGCGCGAGCTGTCCCTTCTGAAGCGAATGGCGGACTACTCGTCGGTAGACACAACCAACGTGAACGAGATCCTGCAGAGTCTGGGCACGGACTTCAGTCAGTACACGTACCGGATGCTCCAGAGCGGTGTGGACATCGAATCGCTCAAGATGCTCAACGACGAACAGCTGTCCCACGAGTGCGGCATCGACAACTCCATCCACCGGCTGCGCATTGGACAGGCCATACGCGGTGAGCACCGCCCAAGGGCCACTGCCAGCTTGCTAGACGAGATGAAGGACAGGGCCATAGAGAAATTAACAGGCACGATTCTCCGTACAAACCAGGTGTTCAAACCTGAACCGCATCGTTCTGGCTTCAGCATTTTTTTCCCCATTTTTGTTTTATGGAACAATGTAACAGATTAGGTACTCTTTCTTTCCTTCAGCTGTAAGAGATTGGAACAGCCCTGATCCACTACTTGTAGCTACACAAACGCGGGTGCGTTCATTCAAGCTCTTGAACAAGACCTTCTTAGTAAATTCACGAGTTAGTTCTTTCTGTTATGTTCTGTTTTGTTGTTACAATATGAAAGAATGTGACGATTTCTAAAAATTACTGTTTTTCGCGCGCCTCAAAACTTTTGTGTTTTTATTTGTACCATACCTGCCATAATCCCCTAATGGGGATTGGTAGTATTTTGAAAATAAATTAAATAAAGAAAGCCGTGAAAGCTATAATTACGCGGTTTGTGCAGGCGAGTTATACGGCCAGGGAGACATTGTATATTAGGTTAATCGTAACGGTCAGTCGGCTAATTAAGATTTGTCAATTATTTTTAATTAGTGAAATAGACATATGGTTCCAATTAGAAACTTGCCGAGCGTCATCGAAAACGACTAAATCAACTCTTTTTAGAAGGATATAAAACAATATAAAACAAAGGCAGCATTTTACGTCGTTCGGTAAAAGCGCTCAATTTGGACGCGTTTTTAGGTTTCGGTTTTTTTATTGGAGCATTACCCGTGGTGGCGAACGTCAGAAAATGCGCGATACTTATTAGTTACCTCGCTAATTAATTAAGAATGACTAATTAACGTTTAATTAGTGAAAATAGACATATATAGTTTCAATTAGAAACTTGCTGAGCGTCATCGAGAACCACCGAATCAGTAATTTGCAGGAAGACTTTGAGCGCGTTAGAAGCGTAGTAGTGCATCAAAGTTACCACTCGTGGAGCAGGTACAAGGCTAGCGGTTGCGGTAAGGCACCCGCGCGATTTTTCCGTCACTTATAAAAGCCCCAGCCTTGTACCTGCTCCACGAGTGGTAACTTTGGTGCACTGCTACGCTTCTCACGCGCTCAAAGTCTTTCTGAAAATTACTGATTCGGCGGTTTTCGATGACGCTCAGCAAGTTTCTAATTGGAACCATATGTCTATTTTCACAAATTAAAAAGTTCATTAGTCATTTTTAATTAATTGGCGAACTAATTAGTAAGTATCGTGCATTTTCTGACGTCCGCCTCCACGAGTAATGCAGTCCCGAGAAAATTATACGTTTACCTCAAAAGCACTAATTTTAGGAATTTTTGTCATTCTAACGTGAAACACCCTGTATATATTATATATACATTGGTATTAAACGTCAAGAAAAGTAAATACAAAAAGGTAAGGAAAAAAAAAAAAAAGCTGCACTCATCCGAAGTAACTTGGAAATCGCGTGTCTTAAGCTTGCAGATATTTTATTAGGAGAAGGTACCACTGATGCGGAGATATATGTTTGGAATTTTTGTTTTACAAGAAACAAATCTTTAAAACAGGTCCATCTTTAAAAGTGTTGCGCGTTGCCTTATATATGTTTCCAAAGTGCGCTGATTTAGTGTTTCTTTTTTTTTTTTTCGAATATGATCAGAATTAAAACCTCACAACCATACTTATAAATTTATTAATTGAAAGGTTAATTACTCAAGATTATTTTAGAGCAGAATCATTCCGAACGTTATTAATTTTCCTAAATAGACCCTTTCACAAACTCCAACCTCTTCTCTGCGATGCGTACGTTTGGCACGAGCGATTTGGCAAGCGTTCCATACCACCCTGTATAAATTTTCCCTTGCTCGGTTTCTCGGGTAATTATATTTAATGCATCGTTTCTGTAACTAGAATGCGTTATTCACCCGCAAATTAGTTGTAGACGTGCCCTTCTCAGTGCAAACGCATTGGAGCACATACCATTTTTCAAAACTTTAACAGTATTATTGTTTTCGCAATAACGCTGCCCGATAACACACGGGCTCACCGAACCTTGCCGATCATGTAGGGACTTGCCGAATCCAATCCAGCTCATCAATATAGAAATCTGTTCGTCAGATTTCCGTATTGATGCACGCGTGCTGAATGCCCGCGTGCTGAATGCCCGACATGCACTCAGCACGTGTGCACAACAGCGCATGCGCACGCTAGGCCCCGCTCAATCAAACTGCAGTCCGCAACTGCACGTCCGTGGAGCTTGGTCGCAGCTGCTGCGACCTGAAACAGTGCCGCTGGGGTTGCCGCGCTTTAGGAGGAAGCAAGAGGTTGCTCGGCGGCACTCGAAGGTGAAGGTTGCCGCCGCGTAGGTCATGAGCGAGAGCTTGCGATATCGGAGCTTCATGGCCACGGCGCTCACGGCACTTGCTCTCCTGTTGGCGTACTTCGCGGCCGCAGCCGACAGCCGCTAGTTGCCTGGTCCGTTTGATGGCAAAATGCCCTCGACCTGACTAGCTGCACGCGGCGGTAGAAACCGCGGTTGATTGACCACACGCAATTATATCGTTTAAACTTTTAGCGTTCTTATTGCAGTACGTTTTGCTATGTACATTTAGAAAAAAAAAAAAAACTAAGACGCCAGTGTCAAACTAGGGTCGCAAAGTTGCGCTTAATTTTTATGCTTAGGGAACACTATCTGTAGCATTCGCACGCTCCGCACTTTAACATTGTATATTCATTCTATTGCTGCACTGTGTATTGGGGGGGGGGGGGGGGGGGGGGGTTGTGGGGATATTTAGACAGCGTGGAGTTGGTCAGCCATTTCAAAGATGCGACGAGTCACTCGCTGTAGATGAGCAATTTAGCCAGTGCGGTAGAGCCGCTAGCCTGGGGTCTTTAACGTGCACCACCCAGTAGTGATACACGACCGCACGCCGGTACGATGCTCATCCAGATCGAAACGGGCAGGGGTGAGAACTGAACCCAGGATATCTGGGTTCTGCAGCGCGAGCTTTCGCTCCACGTGCTCCGAGCTGGTGTGCGCTAGACCACTCGGTCACCTTTCTTCCCAGTGTATTGGTTAATGCGTTTTGTTTGTAAACTTTGAGCAATCTAGATTGTAAATGAATTGTCGCCGGCATGTCTGTCCGGGATTTACTGGATGTTGGTAGATATTTTGCTATCTGAGCATGTGTACATACTTCATTCGCATTCATCCAACTGTCGTGTTACCAAACTGTAAATAAACAATCGTTGAAAAAAAAAGGGGTGGGGGGGGGTGGGGGGGGGATCGGTGGCTGGGTGGGCTAGCGCACACCAGCTCGGATCACGCGGAGTGAAACCTCGCGCTGTAGAACCCAGGGATCCTGGGCTCAATTCCCACACCTGCCCGTTTCGATTTGGATGAGCATCGTACCGGCGTGCGGTCGTGTATCACGACTGCGTGGTGCACGTTAGAGTCCCCAGGCTAGCGGTTGTACTGCACTGGCTAAATTGCTCATCTACAGCTGGGAGACAAGTCGCCCGTTAAGGCAGACCAAGTTTTAGGCTGTATAAACATACACAGACCCATTTTTTATTTTTCATTTAGGAGTCTTTATGAAGAGTGATGCAAAACACGGATACACTGCGCGTCACAGCTAGTGCGAACAGAACTTCACGTTTCTCTCATATTAATGACGAGGACTAAATTTTACCGCTCAAGTCGTGGCCCTGAATAAGCGTGTGGCGATAGCCACTGGGAAAAGATCGCATGCAATTAAAAAGCCAGATGAGTTCGATTTTAGAATTCGTCAGACGTAATCGCTTTTCGTCTGTCTTTCCCTACATTGGTGACCCGGACGTGATCTTCTTCTTTTCCCAGTGACTATCGCCACACGCTTATCCAGGGCCACGACTTGAGCGGTAAAATTTGTTCCTCGTCATTAACATGCCTGAGAGAAACGTGAAGTTCTGTTCACACGAGCTGTGACGCGCAGTGTATCCATGCTTTGCATCACTCTTCATAAAAACCCTTAGATAAAAAAAAAAAAAAGGTGTGTGTATGTTTATACAGCCTAAAACTAGGTCTGCCTTAACGGGCGACTTGTCTCCCAGCTGTAGATGAGCAATTTAGCCAGTGCAGTACAACCGCTAGCCTGGAGTCTTTAACGCGCACCACGCAGTCGTGATACACGACCACACGCCGGTACGATGCTCATGATGCAAGATTTCCACATCGCCAGTAATTTTTATGGTAGCGCTTTAGTCTTGTGAGTAACGCAACCGAGGTTACGCATTCTCCCAACACCCTGTCCTAGTTAACATAGCGAAAAAAAAAAAAACGCGTAAGAAAATAATATTTGCGAGAATTAATAATTTGTGTAGTTGTCGCCACCTGACGAAAGCGGCCAATGGTATCCGTCCGAAACCAAAACTTGGCATCGCTTCCGGAAAAAAAAAGAAAAAAAAGAAAAAAGGACACACTTTTGGAGTTTTGTTTAATTCGACCGAAACGGCTGTTGGGGAGAAGGCGGTCTCGTTGTACGGTTTAAACTTGGCACCGGCCGTTCGAATTGGCCCAGCCGACGCCGCACTTGCGTCAGCGGTGACGTAAACGGCGGTGGTCGAAACAGCCAACCGCCGGGTGGAGCGCACGGAAAGCAGTCTGCCAGGCAACTTGCAATCGATCCCGTAGCAACCAATCGGGGCGCAACAGGTGAGCGCAGGTGCACGCGCACAGTGGCACACGTGTATAAAAGCACGCGCAGCATGTTCACACTTCAAATGTGTAGCAGCTTTGCGTGCACACAAAGAATTGCAAAGAAAGTACACAAACTGTATGAAAAACAAATGAGCTTTGACGCGGGAAAGGAAACAAACCATAGCGCAACTTACAGCATCGTACACGGAGAGCACGCGCTTTCTGTGTTTGTTGAATAGTGCTCTAGCACAAAAATGTGCAAAGTAAGGGTCTCGAACCCAACCTCTCGTCCCCTCCCCCCCCTCCCCCCCTCCCCCGGGGGCGTCGCGGGGGCCTAAGCAAGCCGAGCCGCTGATAGTTTTGATACTGCTCTAAAGGGTCGCTGGACGGCGTTCGGGTATTTTAGGGATCGCGGGCCTGAACAGTTTGCCAAACTCTGCTCTAGCATACAACTTTATGACAAGTTTGTCAATGGTTCCAAAAAAAAAGAGGAACAATAGGCGATATTTCATCCGGCTGTGGTTTTAGCCGTTCCGCTACTGCAACTTCGAGAGTCCCTTCGAATTTGGATTTATTCTGATTAGACCTATTGGTATCATAAAACTTCAGTCACTAATCACAGTCTGTAGGAACCCACGGCCGGTGAGCAGTCCGCCAAGCCAATACCGAGGCACTGTTTCCCCAATTATTGATTCAAAAGCACGGAGTGATTCCATACATTTGCATAGCTCCTTTACAGGAAAGCAAAGTCACATTGTCAACAGGGCTTTCCAAAGCTGCGGTTGGGAAGCTATAGCTGGTGTTGCCAGCTAGTCGGTGCGCTTGTTCCTTGACTAACAAGGTTTTCTCTGTTTTCGTTTGTCGGTAAAATAGAAAAGGGAAGCAGGGAATGCACTCCTCCGGCATGTGCAGGTCGGAGAAGGGGGAGGAGGAGGCCTGCACTGCCCTCGAAGAGGGCGCGGGGTTGCGCCTGGCGCGCGCCCGCCTTGCTAAAAATTGCTAGGTGGCGTTTATCGCCGGGGCTAAATCGGGTTGTGGGACGCTGCTTCGTCAGGCCCCGAGCATTCCAGGCATCCGAAGCTACTTGTTGGCCTTTCGGAACCCGCTATTTTTGGGGACCACTGCCGATTGAGGTCTTTGCGGAACTGCTTCTTGACACTCGGAGACACTCGCGGCTTGAGCAAGCTTTCTCGGAGAGCCCCGTTGACGATGTGACAAAACGCTGGCGCTACGAAGAACCTCTCGTAGCCTCGCATTTAAAATGTTTGGTTTAGTTCTGTTGGTACGGTCGCTTCCATAAACACAGTAGGCAAACAACTTCTAAGAGCCACTTATTTATGCCGTCGTTGGCCCGGGAGGCCGAGTACTGTTTGAAGTTCGTTCATGTTCGAACAACGTTTCCTCAAATATGTATTTCCTTTGCAGGTCTCAACCAGACTGCGGATGACGTAGACGAAATCGAGCGAAACAAGAGCCTGGACGTTTTCGTCAGCTACAGGCGTTCTAATGGATCCCAGCTTGCAAGGTGAGAAAGCGTGGAACACATCTCATCAGTTCCGATGTTTCTTGTCTTAGCAGCGCATAAGAAGGTCATTATTTGCCAGTAAATATGGCCTTTTTTCCTTCTATTTAAATCATTTTATTCGTATTTTTAGAAATGAAGAACACTTAAATTTCCAGAAGCTCATGAGTCATCACGTGCAAATTTCTTTGGTGATGAACAACTGAACATTTTATGTTGCTAAACGGTACACAAAAAACAAACAAAAATAGTTACCAAAATAACCCTGACAGGACGAACGAGATTTGAGTAAAAGACTTCGAAAAGGATGGCAGTAGGCTTGTGCGAATGGTTGATTTTAAGTTCGAGGGGAATAGTGGTTTTGGCCGAATATTTTCGAATCGAATATTGAGAAGATTTTCTAAACTTTTCAATATTGCACCACGCTTAAACTAAGACCCAGCTGAAGTCGTGAAGGTCGCTCCCAAGCTTCCACTTGTCCATTTCTAAGCTTGGTTAAGCCATTTGCCCACATTGGGATGGCAAGTTAACGATACATTTTACTTAAAATTACATCTATAGGGATGCCAAGCTATACAGCCTATACATAATCGAGAGGGTTTATAAATACTCTTGCTATATGAAAAATATATTTTCTTAAAATTTTGAATTTGATAACAAAAATTACTATAAATGCAGGTTGTCAGGACATCTCTGTCTACCATACGCTCTTGATTTTTTCGTGCACTACCGTTATAGGCCCATGACTGTTGGTAGGCACAATAAATTAAGAACCACAGTATAATTTTGAAAATTTTAGTGTAGTATAAAAAATATCAACATTCAAAAAGGCTTACATTTTTTTTTTTTTTAAATACAACAGGCGCGCGCGTGCAGCGTCCCGCTTTGAAAGTGTGCTTTTCTGCTAAGCACCCTAATTGCAATACAAAAAATATTTTGAAGTGTTGATCGCGGGGGGGCTAGCTAGCGCCTTTTAGCGCGCTTTTTTACCGAACACCGGTGCACTACGGAGAAGCAACACCCGCGAAGCTCGCTTCCGCGGGAGTTGCTTCTCCACAACCATCGCTCCCCCCCCCCCCCCCCCCTTGTTTTTTTTGTTTTGTTTTGTTTTCTTTTTGGGGATTATTGGGATGGCTAGAAAGAATGTGCAGTTCAAGACTCCGGGTGGTCATAAACATAAGGTCTCACGGATTCCGTTATTTTTAGCGATGAAGAGGCGTCACAGACACCTTACCGCTTCTGGGATACCGTCATCGCATGTGATAGAGGAAAACAGGGAGGGTGAAAGCCTTTGGTGGTCATTTTATTGATTGTCGTTCCTTCATGGCTCGTGTTTCTCTAAACATATAGGCATCCGTGAGTGCCTTGTTTTAAATTTCTTATTTATACCTTTTTTTTTTTTCAGCCTCCTGAAGGTGCACCTGCAACTGCGGGGCTTCTCGGTGTTTCTGGACGTGGAGCGGTTGGAAGCGGGGAAGTTTGACAACAACCTGCTCAACAGCATTCGGCAGGCCAAGCATTTTTTACTCGTCCTCACGCCCAACGCCCTGGACCGGTGCCTGGGGGACAACGACCGCAAAGACTGGGTGCACAAGGTCAGCATTTGGCATTGAAGTTGACACGCGGGCAGAGATGGTGCCCCCTGCGAACGTTTATTGGCAAACAGCATACCTGCTGAAGACATGAGTAGCTGTGGTGGTTAAACAATAAACTAGCGATATTTTGACATCTGCTACAGGGCAGTGTGTGCTAGCAAACATAAGCATCTAGTTTTAATAGCTTTCACTATTCTTCAATATTGTTTATCCAATTTCCTGTGGAAATGAAACAAACACCAATACTGCAGTAGCCACAGCAAAAGTTTGAGATGCATTATCTTTCTGCAACTTGGCAATTTTCACTTCACTTCACTTGCTCCTGCTTTTTCTTCAACAGACAGTAAGTAAGGCTGGAGTTTTCGTAGAGCTAAGTGTGAATAAACACTCTTAAGCTCCACTTTTGCTTTCAAATACATTTAAGCCCCTCATCCTGGCAGTGAGATTTCCTAGTTATCGACAAAATGTAACGGCACGCAAAATTTTCTAACAATTCTCATTTAAGCTTGGTCAAGTAAGACCTGCACAGTCCAGCCTCGACCAAAATTGGAATTTGGGGCGCAAAAATAAGCACACACTATAATTTGCAAAACACACCAACAATTTCACTTTGTTTGAAGCACTATAGTACTGTGGGTTAGTTGCAGAAGTTAATCAGGCACATTTTGGAACCAAGAGGATTATTGTGGAATCTTGTTTTGCAGTGTGCCATAATTCAAAGCATAAGCCCTCATCTCGATACTTTTAAGCAACTGTTAACAATAAACACAACTCACAGTGTTCTAAAAACATTTCTTGACATCTGCCATTTACAAATGGCCATGTTTTGGGGTACAAAATTCCCACATTTATACGTCATAATCTGCAGTAAAAGGTTTTATCATCCAATTAGCCAAAATTTTAGTGATTGTCACCAGTTCCTCAGCACCACCTTCCACAGACTAGCTCCAAGACTCCAAAGGGCAGCTAGGCTACATCTTTCCTTGGGAAATGCCCCAAGGAAGACTTTTTTTTCAAAGAGAAAAGCGACTTACAATTGCTAGAATCACAATTAGGCATCAATTGCTAAAAGCTTGCTGGAATTTACTATACTATGCTTCCTGTAGAAACTACTTCAGCTCTCATCCAAAACTTACTAAACACTCAAAAAGTGTAAAATTTTGAAGCCCGCAAAAAATTAATGGCTTTAAAGTATTCTGCCTGCCTCATGACTCATGAGTATGCTTGTTTTTTTTTTGTTGCAATGGTGCAGGAAATTGTGGAAGCCCTCCAAAGCCAGTGCAACATCATTCCAATCCTGGACAACTTCCAGTGGCCGGAGTCTGAGATGCTCCCAGAAGACATGAGAGCAGTCTGTTACTTCAACGGTGTTCGGTCAGTATGTCTCTTCTCAGCTCTAGGAGCTTTTCAAATTGAGGTATGCAATGTTGGAGGCCGCTAAAACTAAAGGCCTGTTGACACACTGTCGTTTGACTAAAACTGACAGACAAGATTGGCTTTTAAGCCTTGAAAGCTTACGACCTGCTCCGCAGCAACGCATTCGTTTGTAAGAGGCTTAAAATTGGTCTTGTCTCGTTCGTTCGCACTCGATTGCGAGTGTGTGAACGGGCCTCAACCCTTGGCTGAAGGGGATAGATGGCCGAGTCTGTTAACGCACCGCACCTCATGGCAAGTGGAGCGAAAGCTTGAGCTGCAGAACCCAGAAACCCTGGGTTCAATTCCTACTCCTGCCAGTTTTAATCTGGATGAGCATTGTACCGGCATGTGGTCGTGTATCACTACTGCGTGGTGCACGTAAAAGGCCCCAGGTTAGCGATCGTGCTGCACTGGCCAAATTCCTCGCCTACAGTGTGGACACCAAACACCCCCCGGGGCCGACAAACCTCAAGCTGTCTAAACAGACTCGTAAAACAATTCCATTGGGGGAATCAAAGTTGGTACTTCATACTTGCAGCCCATTTAGACAGTTGCTCCTATATTTGGACGCATTATTTTCTTGCGGAGCTCCTTTGACGTAATCATACAGCAACATGCTCAGAATCCCGTAGTGTCGGCTTGTGCAGAATTTCTTGCACATAAACACGGAAGTAATGGAAGCAATGCATGCATTTAGCCGGTTCAGTGCATAACGACGTGGCTCAAAAACTTGAGACTAGGGAGGAAGAAACGGAACAGGGTGACGCAGCAACCAGGCTTGATAGCATACTGCACTGCCCTTTCTGTTCTCTGACACATTAGATTTTGGACTCCGCCGACGTATTTCAAGTGTGCCCGTAGACAATGTTGCCAGCCCTTAATGAGCTCACACGGACTCTCTCTCCTTTTGCAGGTGGATCCACGACTACCAGGATGCGTGCGTGGACAAGCTGGAGCGCTTTATGCGGGGCGAGATGAACGTGCGGAGTGATGGGCCCCTCGGGCGCTACGTGGGCATGGGCGGACCCGGCACCCCCGGCACACCGAGCACCCTTGCCAGCTGCCGTGCGGCCGTGTACCAGCGCAGTGCCAGCAATGACAGTGCAAAGGGCAGCACATGCTCAGACAAGGACTCCAACAACGGCCGTCTGGAGCAGTCCCCTCCTCAGCCGCACTGCTGATATAGGGAGCCCCAAACCTTTTGGTAAGCACGTAAGAACTGGCGGGGAGTTGCATCGTGCGCTTCAGCAGCAGATACCGCACATGGTGATTGGAAGGGCAATGGTACCGTTTTGTTCTAATAATTTGCGATACAGTATAGACCACTTACAACGTAACCGCTTATAGTGCAGGACCGGGTATAACGCGCCTTTTTTAAACCACCGGTTCGCCTCCCATAGAACCTCATGTAATTATATACCGCTTAAAATGCAGGCGCGCGAAGGGAAATACCGGTTATAGTGCGGTTTCTGGAACAGCCCGCCGACCGCGCCGACCGACCGGCGCAGCGGGCACGCTTCCCTGTGCGACACTAGATAACGGCGCCAGCCACGCGCGGGCCGTGTGGCATAGCAGCGGCGCTAGCCGCAAGCAGCACTCGCGGGGCAAGGAGGTTGCTCGAAGAAGCGGGGAGAAGCGAAGAGAGAGGCTTCAGTTGCCAAAGCGCCGGAGGGACGCACGCACGTGTCGTTCACATGCGTGCGTCCCTCCACTGCGTTGGAAACGACCGCAACGACAGACCAATCGCAGGTCGAGGAGAAGTGTTCGCGCGCATTGCATGCCGGTCGCGGGCCGGCTTCTTCTATCCGCAAACATGGCGTCGGTTGTGATCGTCGACGTAGACGGCGTGGTGGAAGCCCATTGTTCCGCGTCAAAGCGCTATCCTTGACTGTGAATTTTCGTTGCGTGTCGCTATGATAACCCAGCACGTACTAGAAGGGAAGATCCACCTGCTCGTGCGGCGATGTCGTGGCAGCACTCTCAAGACGGCAGAAACGCCCGAGTCGTCGTGTTTGTTTACTTCGACTAGTACAGTAGTGATTTCTAAGCATTTGTGTTTTCGAAGATCGCCCGGATTTCTTATTTGGAGCATTTCATGCCTGTGCTGAAGTTGAAGGTATTACTGGCGCGTACCGTATGAAGGATGCGAATTTTCACGTATTTTCATCTTCGGAGAAAAGTGATTAGGGTTAGCAATCCTGAACGCTCGCAACGTCCGTCCGCAACCCGCGACGCCGTTAAAAGGCTGCGCCAGGCAAAAGTCTCATTTCTTTCAAAATGTGTGACGCACTTGAGAGAGAAGTGTACTAGTCTGGTGAAATAAAGACTTTCCTCAAACTAAGCTTTATTTTCCATCTAACATAAAATAAATTCTTTTACAAGGGTAAGTTGTCTCATGGCATGTATTTTGGCCTGAAAAATGGATGTCTTAGTTATAGCGCGGTACCGCTTATAGTGCGGATATTCGCGACTCCCGCGACATACGTTATATGCGGTCTACGCTGTATTAACTTGCATATTAAGTTCAATTTCGAAGGACGAGTGTCATGCGAGAGAGAGCCTCAAACATGATTAGATTCTTCCTCTAAATTTCCTATGCCACCTCTTCATCACCAAGATGGCAACTGTGAAGCGAGGTCGCTAACGTCGAGTTTGCAGCATGTTCGGCACGTTAAATTTTCAACAAACTTGAAATTGTAGTTGAACTGATACCACACATACTTGACCGATTTTCAGCTAGTTCTGTGGCACATACTTTTTTTTCGAGTCTTTAACCACCGGAATGAGATTGCCCTCAACTTAGTTCTGGTTGGCTGACCTCCAGATGCCTTCAGGTTCTTTAAAATGGCTTTGGATGTTAGTTTTTATCACTTCATGATTCATGCATAAGGAATCTCGATAGATGAAAGGAGGTGAAGTCTACTGCATTGTGTCAGATTACAACTCTCAACACGGCACAGAATAAGCTCGTGCAGTAGAGTATTAACCATTGTTCTGGATATGAATGTGAAAAAGTATTTTTTTTTACACTGGTACCAGTCTACCTACAGACCTAGGGTCCCATTACCATATCCATTTGTGTTCCCAGTGAGTGCTCTCCCTTATTACTCATCATGGATTAGACCAAAGCACCTTTGTTCAGACCCTTCCCACCTTAAACTTAAAAAACACTACTATCGTGGAACTTGGTATGCATACAATGAAGTTGGATTACTGCCAAATATTTAGTCGATAGAAATAAATTCATGCGTGCACGACTGTATACTCGAAGGACATCCTGTTATTTTGATGTGGGCAAGTGCACTTCATACAGCAAGCATTAATAAGGCCTTCCACATATAACTCTTGCAGGGCTCGTGCAATCAAGAACAGATGCAGTGCAATGTTTGGACGACCTGGTCACATGCTGGTCCATCTGCGGAAATGGATTCCAACACCAGCGCACCACTCGTCGACTCAAGGTGTGATGGTCATTCAAGAAAAAGAAAGAACCAAGCAAACATCTCCACACCGAAAGTGTCAAGGCCACGTCTAGAAGCCTGAAAGTTCCAGTGGTGCTGAACGCTTTGGTGTTCCAAAGAAGCCAACCCAAAGCTTCGTGGGGCCGATGCTCCCAAGTGACGGCAGGAGTGTAGCACTCGTAAGCTTGCCAAGAAGCATAGTATTGCCACGAAACTGGGCAGGGTGTGGAGAGCCCGTGACATTTCCATTGCCAATGAGGAGTCCTCAAATCGGGTGGGGTAGCAGACACCAAACTGCTTTGCGGAATAATCCATTTTGTGCATAGTCCAACTCCCAGATGAAATACCTCATGCATACAAAGCCGATAATTTGGCATGGACTCCTGCTTTTGGGGCATTATCCCATTTGTCACAGTTTGGGACTTGCCCTTCCGGTACCAGAGTCTGGCACCAACTGTTTAATGTCTCTGTAACCAAAGGTGCTCGACTGCCTACACGGGGAACTTGTTGAAAGTTCGAGAGTCGTTCACGTATTAGAAGCAGTAAGATACGTATTATCATTTTAGTCAATTCTGGAAGCTTTTAGCAATTTGGAAGTATTCCTGCAGGGATTATGCATAACCAAGTATGCCCATTAGTTATGAAGGCATCGGTGACTCTTGATATGCAAGTGTTCCTTGTCAAATATACATACACTTCCTCGGATGTCTGGATGTCCTAGCAATTCGGCTTGCAATCTGCATTGAATTTCCGTCCAGCCATCTGCCAGTGCTATCATCTTACCTCACTCCTTATAGTAATAGGTATTTATTACAATATTGTCTACTTTTTTTTTAACCGCATGTCCCCCAAGACTATAGGTTATGATTGAAGGTTACTGATTTCTCTATGCATATCAATGATATGCATAACTTGCTGAAGAGAGAAAATCTGTCCTGCATTTGTTGTCGATAGTCATTGTAAATTATTACAGCAAAGGTGCTGGCACCTTTGAAGCTTTAGCATTTTTAAGTCACCTGTTTGTTTGGTGCTTTGTTTCTGCACTCTTAGGTTAGTAATTTTTGCTCCATGCACTTTATGCATGCAGTGACAAAGACAAACATTTTCATGTGTACATATAGCAGGTTGTTTTCAAATGCCATCATGAAAAAGCTAAATAAACTGGTTTTATATTGTAGTGCTATCTGTTGTGCATTTGCTTTTGTTGAGACATAGACTATTGCTCATAAACATAAGCTATGGCACTTTGCAGTACCAAGCAAAGAAATGCTAGGAGGAATGTCCTATTGGGCACTTTGCGTGGAGTGTCGTACCGTAAAATTCCGAAGAAACGCCCACCCCCATTTTATCGAAATACGTGTAAAGCCAGCTACGGGCGCTTATTAGGGCGCTTGAAAGTGTACTTGCCCAAATTTTCGAATTTCAAAAATGTGAATAGTGGGCGCTTGTACGGGTATGGGCGCTTCCTCGGTATTTTATGGTAGGTACCTCGAAATAGCATCATGATGGTAAGGAAAGGTGTCTTTGTTCTTTGGCATGCGACAACCCTCAGTATGTTGAGGGTTTAAGACATTAAATAGGTAATAGAGAGCGAGTGCAGGCTGTGTAATCTGAAATGGCGTGTAGCCCCTGAAGGAAATCAAACTACAAGATGGGACGTAAAGCTGCAGGAAGCTGGGAGAAATATGGATGAACTGTCAAATCATGCTATGGACAGAAAGGTCCTGCCGTGAACAACCCTTACAAGCATAGGAAAGCTAGGCAGTCACAGGCAAACATTTTAAATTTGAAGCAAGGGCAGTAAATTTGTTCAACTAGCAAGATCTATCGAGACTTGCAGAATGTTTGCACGATGTATGAAATTGTGAAGGATGACATGTACCCTACTTTATTAACTCTACAGCATTCAATGCAGTGAATTTGCATGAGCATTCTGCTTTTTTTTCTTTCCTTTCATAACATTGTGCCCGATTGAAAGCACACCCACAACTCACTTCACTTTTCAAAGCTCTGCGACACCCAAGCCCTGCCGAAATCCAACTATCCAGGACTTGGCTCACCAGAACAGTACTTTCATGTCAAACAATATAAGTTATTTAATGAATAAAAAAATATTTTATTTCTCTTTTCTCCCACTTTCAAACTTAACTATAGTATCCTTTTCCATTGTTAACCCTGATTTGCTTTGTGTGTGTCATATGACTGAATAAGGGCACACCATTTCCACCGGGATGTCTGCATAGGCATCTTTAATTCCTCCACTCTTGAGGGTTTTCCAAAGCAATGAGGAATACATAAGACACGAAGTCATAACAGCGTCTCGATGCAGACATAGTTGACATGTTTTAGAACATGCAGTATAAAAGGTAGGCCCCAAATGACGGACATTTACTCCGTGTTGGTATAAGCTGTGTATTTATCACTCTTGCCATAGACTCTAGATGCCGGGTACTTCTGTTTGTTGAGCTCTACCTTGCGAAGCACGGCGGAGGGGAGGTCAATCCGGCAGCGGTCGGCTAGACGGACGAGGTATATCAAGACGTCACTCAGCTCTTCACCCAAGTGTGTCTTCTCCTCTGAAGTCCAGTCTACAGGAGAAATCCTTTGCATCATTCACTTATCTCCGAAACATTTCTCGTACAGCGCATCTCTAAAAGAAAAAACGTCTCCCAAATGCTTTTGTTTATAAAGCATGTTTCAATATTTGGATAATTTCATTGATTTGTTGGCTCCTTTGCCATAACTAGGGTTCCGGATAAATTTAGATTTATCCGAAAAAGAAAAAGAAATACAAGCAAGTTGGATCACCACACAGGGTAGATGGTCCTAAGAAACTGCCACCCCCATTTTTCTTTCAAATCTCAGATCATTGACAAAAGATTTCTTATTGTTGATTTTGTCAGGGTTCATTCAGGACAACAGGTAATTGCACTTTTGGGTCATGACAAGTGCCACTGTTCCAGTTTCCATTTTGGACCATACTATTTATGCTTCATAGACGAAGGAAGGGTTGTGTTTTTGTAACAGTGAAAGTGATGAACCATAGAGATTTCCTAAAAGGAGGATGAGGGCTAACAGTTGAAGCTTCTATATTATACATCTTACCACACCACATTGTGCAGCCAAGGAATGGGTGATGCAGTAGGTTGGGGTGAATATGAGCTTCCCAGCTACTACTTCTACCAGTTTAGTGATATCGAGGTATCGGCGTTTATCGAAGCAGTACTTGTTCGCAAGTTTTGTCGTGGGCACATTAGTATTTCCAACGCTGCCAACACCGAATTCATCTGAAGAAATATTTAATGCAAGCGCATTCATTTTAATACAACACACGTTCCAACTCAAACATTTATGTTGATTTTTTTTTTTTTTAAATAGGAAACATTGCTAAATAAATTTCTTAATTTCGGAGAATTGGAGATCAAACAAAAATAAACTCCGATAAACTCAAAATTTTCGGCAAAAATCAAACTCGGAAAAGCACCTTCGAATTTGACAGAACATAAACTCCACAAACTCGATACCCTAGCTATAACCTATGTAATGTCACAGGCGTACGTTCGGGATGGCCGAGAGAAAAATAACGGCATAAGCTAGTTCAAAGGAGGATGAAAAATATTGGCATGACCGCAACAATGACCCCCAAACACGGCTATATCTGGTGATGGTATTGTCACTTATCCGTTTTTATCCATTCCTGTCAAGAGATCGAGTAGCTGCCCCATTTTGGATGTTGTATTAAGGTTAGGGTGTTGACCTTTCCTCATACTCCACTCAAGAAAGAAAGGAGGCCTCGGTACCTCATATGGTCTGCGAGTAAAATGGGCAGTTGATGGTGTCTGAATGCACCTTTTTTGGAGGGAACTGGCCTGCCAACAAATGTAACACTGAAATGCAGCTTCAGAAAGTACCTAGTGTAACAACTACTGTGCAACATTTGAACTACTTCAAAATGTGTCACGGCCCTCAGCGAAAAGTCACACAGAGAACTTGGCGAGGCATACACGACTGCACTGTAAAAAGATGGATTGTTATATATTTGCTGCAATAGGTGGATGATCCACTTCTGCCTTCATTTTAGCCCGAGTACTTTGGCCTGGATTACGCTTGACAAGTCATTCAAACCTTCTCATCAAAACATGAAATTGGCGACTGACCTGGTAAGCCTTCCTTCACTTCACCTTTCCACTGACTGCAAACACAAAAAAGAGCAAATTAGGCCTGTACCAGAGAAATAGTAAGGTTGGCATACATCACACATTTGAGGAATGTAACGATGCTACTCCACATTTATATTTTGACATATAGCCTACAAATATTGTCGAGTGTCAGAATGCAAAATGGGCACCACAGTGTGTTTGACCTATTTTCCTTAGACGTCTTCCACATGTCTAGAATGCTAGCATAAATTAAAAACTATTAGTGTGGTTAAAAGTAAGTATTGAGGTGTAGCACAAGCACGGTCAGTATGGTCTGCTTTACTGGTCATGCCTATGCTATTTACGTTTTTTTGCGGAGCAAAATTTACCAGACAGCTAATCCTGTGCTCAAGGTGACTGCACTATGCACTGTTGGTGCAAATGTGAGATCACAGCTCAGCCTCATTTAAGTCATACAATTTGACACCGTGTGACGAAGGTTGTGGTGCAGTCTAGCACTGCACAAACACACTAAAGAAACATTCTAACTGCGGATTTTTTACAATACAGACTACAAACTGAAAACAATGATAGATTGGTCGCTTCTTCTTGAGGTTAAATGTTTGCTCTATTGTCTCCAGCTACCAGAAAAAGAGCCTTAATGGAACTTAAACAAAAGAGTGATTTACCATTCAGAGATAACAGCCCGTTCGTGCAAGACATTCCCCTTAACAGGCACAAAAATAAACATGCAAGATGAAAACGCACAAAAAAGCTCATTCTAAGAAGGTTTTTTAGCTGGGAATCTATGAAACTTAAAATTCATAAGCTCAATAAAGCTAAAGGTTTTGTCAAACAAAGGTCAAAAAAGAAGAGGAGCGTAGAAAAAAACATGTCTAGACCCCTCGCTTGTTTGTGTGGCAGAATTGCTGTCCTGCCCAAAAGTAAAAAAGAAGTATCCTTGGATTATTATAATAAAGATAATGATTATGACCTGTGTGAGAGGAAGCTGTACTCTAGAAGGCATATTTATTTATTGTTTATTTATTTATTTATTGTACCCTCAGGGCCCGAGGGCATTACAGATGGGAGTGGGTTACAAAGTAAAATCACTAAAAAACAAAATGACAACCTAAGAATAGAAACATGAACATAAGAAATTTTAACTTAGAAAAGTGGTTAAACAACGCTTAAACATGATGGCATCTGTTACAGACACAACTGACGATGGAAGGTGGTTCCACGTGATTGTTGTTTTGGGGATGAATGAATTATAAAAAGTAGTGGTTTTACAAACAGGTAGACCGATTTTGTGTTGGTGATCGACGCGTGGCGAGACATATGAGGGAGGGGTTAGTAATTTTTGATGCAAGGAAGAATTGTGATGATAAATTTTATGAAACAGACAAAGACGGGATAACTCACGACGTGAAGAAAGGTTAGGTAGGTTTAAAAACGTTTTCATGGATGTTACGCTTGCACTACGGTGATAGTTAGTAAGAATGAAGCGAACAGATCTATTTTGAATAGCTTCGTAGGGGTTATGAAATTAGAAAACAAGGCAACGGCAGAAATTGTGTAGTGCTGGAACTAATCCTGATAGACACAATGGTGCATGCCGGGTGTCTATTTTTGAAACGGCTTTCACAAACAAATGGCATGGAACTTGCACAGTTCATAACCAAAAACATTGTCAAAAATGTTCCCGCATCGGTAACATTTTCGGATGTGCGGATCACCTCCCAAAATGTCCGAGGGCCTTATCAGCAAAAAGCGTAAATTTCTTGGAACTTGGCTGGATCCCTAGAGGTTGTTTTAGATCGTCCTATAGTCCGCTGCAACTCAAGAAGGTAGGGTAAGGGTAAGACGGGTCGGGGAGGAGGAAGCAGAGGGAACGCTAAAGAAAGAAGGGGGTTTCCCCCACTCTTCTCCAGCGTTCCCTTTGCTTCCTCCTCCCCGACCCGTCTTAACCTCGCCCTACCCTCTTGAGTTGCAAGACTATAGAGGTTGTCCTAGACGTCGTCCTTGAGGTCGACCTCTAAGGACCTGACGTCACGTGACTGTACATGAGCACATAGCCGCTGTGCAACGTGTGTCACATAAGAGGTGCGCAATGACAAACGCTATTGCATTCATAGATAATCACCCCTGTGGTTTCTACAAATTTGCCCCAACCATCGATTTGCTACCCTGTATTTAATTTTTATTTTATTTTTTTTTCGCGACGCAAGCTTGGCAGTATGTTGTTTACTGTTAATTCAGTCCCAGCTACCATCAGTGTCCAGAACAATTTTGTTGTTTCTGTAAATTATAAAGAGCATTTTTCGGAAGAAGCCTAACGACGAGGAAGAGCTAAAGCGAATGGTTTCAAAGACACCTGGTAGCAGAAGCATCACAATGAGAGATGCCGTGACCAATGTTCAATTATTGCTTTGTCACAAATAGAGATGCCGCAAACTTTTTTCGAACCTAAGTTTTGAAGGTTGAAAACCAAGGGGTTTGAAAGGTTAGAAAAGTTTTGCTTTGGCAAACTTTTTGCATTTATAAATTGTATTATTTCAAACTTTTGAACTTCTTATATTTGAAAATTCAATTATTTCAAACTTAATGCACTAAGAATTTCGCGATTAACAAACGTTCGAGCTTACTAAATTTAAAGATTCAACTATTTTTGAACTTTCTAATTTGTTTCTTGAAAAGTTTGAAAAATATCATCCTTCAGAACCTGCCATCTTGAAAAGTTCAACGAACTGCGAATCTCATCAGGATTCAAAATTATGCGCCGAAGCTTTTATTCGTTGTTCCTAGGCAGAACCACCACACGACATCTTGCCTATTTTGCCCGTTGTTGGCGAGCCCTGACTGGCGTCGACTGCTCCGGCCCCGACTTCGTTGTTTGTAGCGTCGGAAAGCGAGCGACGCAACCGCTGAGAGAAGCTTCGCCTTCAGCGCCAGCTCACTGCCTTCCGCGGTGCTTTGGTTGTGCGTGCGTAAATGCTCGTGCAGCGGTGAATGGAGTATGTCTGGGGCGCCCTTCTCCCAAATGAACGGCGCGCGAGCCACAAAGTGGACAAGGTTTCGACTCTCGAGCCTAGTTCGCTGTCCATCGCCGCTCCATCGGAGGAAAACGCACAGACAGCAGGACAGACCGCTCAAGTCAGTGTTTTTAGATTAGGAGTTTTTAGAATGTAAAAACATTGGCTCGAGTTTAGAACCAAATCTCGTAACCAGTGTTTGGGTATGTACATTTAGGATGATTGTACGTCATCCAGTGTACATACAAAGCCCCGTTTATGTTTGAAGCAGTATCTTAAAGATAAACAAGGTCTGGATGCTTCCAAGGAGCCTGTTGAACAGCATTTTTGGGGGCCTCGAGTTTAGTCGTTGAGTGCTGCTTGCGCTTTCGCTGTGTCGGGGTCTGTGTTGATTCTATTCTCGCCTGTGGCCTATTTTCTCCGTCCCGTGATCCATGGACCTCTAGAGAAATAGCCTGCCTTAAAATGAGTGTCGCTTTTCCCACCAGCCAGAAGTTGGGGGCCAGTATTGAGTAGTGTCTTAGCGCAGTAAAAGGCAAGTTTTCTTAAGGGCTTGTTTTGAAAGTAGAAGAAAGTGGAGTTCAGTAAACCAGATATAGATATGTCACAATGGGTTTGTAGAAGTATGCTGTGCTCAAAGTCACTAATTGGCTCTCTCGCATGCAACGGATGCTGCCGGCGGTGACGCATGCTCGCACGGGAGCACACGGGCGCATGCGCATTCCACGAATTACGTGGTCAACGTTGAGCGCGCTGCTAGCGCCGCCTGCATGCTTTGCTTAAAAAAGTACAAAGCAAGCGAGCAAATCTCCCTGAAAACCTCGAGTATGATGTAGGTAGCGCAGAGGCGGCTGCGCAAACACGGTAGTATTGACTGCGCCGTTGGCTTCGCCATGCCTTGCCCTCTAGGATTAGGGAATTCGAGCAATTTCGCGCACCTCAAACTTTGGTTGCCAGTTTTATTAACTTTTAAGCGGAATTGGATCGAAATATTTGACGTGTGGTCTATTTAGACGATGCTAAAGAGAATTGCATTGTTTTCTTAATATAAAAAATTAATCGAAGTTGCCCTTTAAAAAGGTTGCTAACCAAGTTATCTGGCATGTCTGATCAGCATTTGCTGTTCGTCGCTCTAGTAGACCAAGGCTAGAGGGTTGTAATTTGCGAGGAGATGTCACGAGGACACTCGCAATTTTCTGGAAACAGTACTGGATCTTCCTCACTTGATAATTTTTTGTCTCATATGCTGATTTCTGAGTTTCTAGATTGCATTTTTTCACACCACGAATTTGGGCACTGGAAATTTGCTTTCGTATGCCTTCAGAAAGCCGTGTTGCCTTTCTCTGGTGCTGTGTTTTGGAAAACTTTTTCACAGATCCTCAAAGGCAGCGGCTAGCATTTACGCAAACATCGTAACAGTAAAAGAGCCCATTGGATTTCGTTCCGCAATTGCCCCTCTTTACAATATGTAAAAAAGAGCGGAAGGAGGAAAAGATTCCTAACTCTTGTTGACTTGTATCTGTATTCATACCTGCCAACCTATGGACTTTCAAATTCGTAAAAGTCCCGCGGCCGCGAGGGGGGGGGGGGGGCGGGTTACGCGAAGCGATGTGCAGCTTAATGTCAGCCTGGCCAGCGTGCGAAACGCTTACATCACACGTGCACGTGCTACAGAATCCAAACTTCTCTCGCTTTTTGGGCGGCACGAAGCACGGAAATTTTGACGTGTAGGACCTCAGGAACACCTGAAAGTACTGTACCTCTTTTGAGGTTTCGAGTTCGGCATTGCGCCGCGAAGCCACAGTGACCAGGAGAATGCTACAGTTATACGACGTGCGACAAACATAGACGCCATACTTCTCGCCTCGAAACAGGCCGAAACGAGGCCCAACAACGTCTGAATACGCCGAACCAACTCGCACCCATGCACCGCCGAACAAAGGCTTTGAGCTTTGGATTGGTTTTCGATCCGTGGCCATCGAATAGACGGATAGTAAAAACCACGACGCTGCTGTGGACGGTACCTATCGTCCTCTTATAAGATACCGCCAACAACGGAGTTACAAAAACAAAAATAAATAAATAAAAAAAGAAAATTTAGAAATATATTTTTCGTAAGATTTGAAGCAGGATTCGTAAAATCGCAAAATTAGTCCCAATTCATACATTTTACGAAAAATTCGGAAGAGTTGGCAGGTATGTGTATTGCTTTTGCCCCCCCCCCCCCCCCCCCTTATGTAAAGCCCCTACTGGGCATTATAAGGGTATATTAAATGAAATGAAACTACCAAAAAAACTTCTTCAGCAAAAGGAAGGGGATGGCATACAAAACATACCCTTAGATCCATAGCCAGCTGGCTTTCAGAACACTCCACACAGCTAGCTGACTGGTAAGACTGTGAATCAAGAACTTGGGGAGGCCACATTTGTGCAGTAGGGACGCGCAATCCAGTAAATTATTGTAGAGGCCAGCAGTCTCGGAGCTCTATTTGTTCACCAGATCACGGTGCCAGAAGTTTGCCAATCCACTTTAGAACCGCTCTTCTCCGAAAACATTTGGTAGGAACCAAGGAGTTAATATACGTGTGCTACCAGACCTTGGGCAATGCAGTATGGTACAGTTGGTCCCACTGAGCTGCTCCAACTTCGACTGAGCTCCCCGAACGTCTCTCCAATGCTCATTGTGAGCTATCTTTAGCTCAAAAGTTTGTACACAAAACTTAGAAGCCCTTCTCACCTTCCTTCTGATTAGTACAAGGAGAAAGAGACAAACGATCACACATCGAATTTTTATTTTAACAGATGGCAGCAGTTATGTTGTAAATCGTTAAATAGTTGATGTACGGTTCCCCTTTTCCAACGCCATCGTTTTTCCTCTCGTGCTATGCACTCTGATGTTGGAAGACTTTTTTTTTTTTTAAATTGTGTGTGCATAAACGTTTTCTTTTTATAGTATATTACAATTTTTGTAAAAGCCCTACAAAGCCTGGCAGTATCAATAAATAAAAATAAAGCGAGTCCACCCTTCTGGTGTAACTTACGCGGCCACAACAGTTCGTCATCAGGAAGAACTACAAAACTGGCAGACCATTGCCTGTATGCGTATACTCTTCTTTTCAATACTCACAAGCATTCCGAAACTTCTCCCACTTCGGCGATCATTGCAAGCAAGATGTTCCTCGGGGAATGGTACTGGTCCCAGTTCCTCTCTTTGGAAAACTCTTCTTGAACCTTCCTTCTAAAATCAGAGACCGGCAGGAAGCCAAGATTAAAAATTATGAGCACAATCGAAACAAAAAGTGTCGTAGATTTCACTCTCAGTCGGCGTCCGCTCATGTTGTGAAAGTAAGCTGTGGGGAACTTACATGCTCTCTAAGCTCAGAGAGTTACCGAAACTAAAGTCTGGAGATGTTTGGGAAGTCTCTGGCTTTCCGTCCGTGCTCCCGTTTGTAGCTTGAGACATCGTGCGCCTGCAGAGTGGGATCCAAATAGAACTGCTCCGTTTTAATAAACGGGATGGCATTGGACGCAAATAGAGCGAAAATACATGCACCAAACGTAAGCACGTAACGGAAGGTAAGCGCTATGAAAAGCAGCCTATGCACATGGAGATGTTTTCAAAATTTACCATCTCCGCCAAAACTGATGATGATGATGAGATGATCTTAGCAAGAGCGAGCGACGTCTGGCTGGCATTTTAAATTTACTGCATAATGTCACCTTTTGTACTTAAATTTCTCAATTTTAATTATTTAGAATGCAAATTTATTTAATACATTGTTATAAACTATAAGTGTACCATCTCATTTTTTGTGTGAAAACGGTTTGCGAGAAAGTCGCGAGAGTATGGTCGGTATGGTATCCAGTTCAATATGGCTGCCGTGTGTGTAAAAAGATTCTCCCCGGGTAAGATTTTCCGTTCTCTTTTCTCATCCTTAAAGTTTTGGAAGAAGCCTATTGCTCTTGCGGTAGCCATGAAGTAGTTCGTGCGCTAAGGATGGTCGGTATTCTTTCTGGCACTTTGCTGACGTTGAATTTCAATGTTGCTTTTGGTTCGACCTTGCCTAGATGGCCCGGTCACCCTAAATCGATGCAATAAATGTAGAGCGTGCAACTCGACAGCCCGTTATTGAATTCATATTAGTGTTGGCCGATTATTTGAGGGACTTGTGTGATGCCTTAAATCTTCTGCGCTGTCTGCATCCTGTGTTTGGAACCTCTGATCTTGATTGAACCGATCGGTGCAGCCTACCGGAGCCTGTGGAGGTGGGCTCGGCCGCTGTCCTCGACTCCCGTGCAGCAATGCTACAAGCAGGTGCACCCTGGAGAACCCGGCACGAGCTTCAGGGAGACGACTGACAAGGCGGCGCAGATGATATTTATCACCGAGATTTTGAGAGGTACGTTCGTAATAGCCGATTCACACGACGGACTGATCCGCGGACGGATTGATCACGTGACGACATATCCGCGGTTCGTCCGTCTCCCAAGCGCATCCACACGAGGGAGACGACGAGCAGACGCCAGTGAGGACGGACCGAACCTGTTCGCACCCACAGTGCCGCGAAACTCCAACATCGCACAGTAGCACCGTTGTCCAAGAGAGAAATCGACGGTTGCTACCGCGATAAAGAATCGTACGCCGCTGCTACGTACAGATCGAGAACAAAACACCGGGACAGGCTTCGCGCGAAGCGCCACTAACTTTACTAACCCAAAGCATGACAGTGACACAGGCATGATCCTGCCCGAGAAAGCTTCGGCGTAGACGCGACGAACTCCTGGGCTCGCGGAGGGGCGTTTGGAGATGCCTTCACGCACTCCGCGCTCGTGCACAACACTCAAGCACACCACATCCACAAGAGAGGGCTTGCTCGGTGAAATCCTGATTGGACGTGCAAGAATTATCGCGGCGTGCTAGACGAGTTTTCACGGGAGCTTCTTGACACGGACCCGGAGGAGTATCGAAACCTGCGTCGCGTCAGCCGGACTAAGTTTTTGGAGTTTCTCTCACGCGTGGAACCAAGAATCGTACGACAAAATGAACCAACAAACGCACAAAACGCAACGACGCGCCATTTTTGTTTTGAACGCACAGAAGCAAAATACCAAGAAAACCATGTACCGTTGCCAGACTAAATGCTTTCCAAGTCAGTCTGCCGCCAAACGTCCGCGAGTGAAAAAGGCGCTCGACTTTATCAGTCCGCGCCTCCGCGGAGGAGGCGCGGATCGCAGGAATCGGTGACGTGCCGGTCACGTGGTACACGGTCCGCGGACGAAAATCGCGATTTGGTCCGTCGTGTGAATCGGCTATAACATGCCAACACCTCCTAGAAGACAAGGCCGTAGCGCTCTCCTCGTGACGTCGCAAAGGAAGGCCGTCGGGGGCGCGCGTCGAAGCGAATGCAACGCGCGTAGATCGACCGTCGTAACGCGTTTTTAGTCGCATACGCGTGTCATATTAGCTAAAATGAAAGCTGCACATAGCAACAGGTCTAGAAAACATTTTATTACACGAGCAAAATATTACACCGCTAAATAATCGGTACGAAATGGCACGAGGTATGCGTACAAGACGTCTATAGAAAAATGTGATTGTTTTAAGTCGAAAACATTGAGTCATGCAATTATTGTTGTAGGAATGCATATTTTATACAGAAATACTTCGACAAAATGGCGAGACACGCAGTGATTTGGAAACAGCAAAACAGAACAGTTAAAAATCAGGTAGACGTGGTCAACGCGGACAAGGCAAGACAAGTGTTTCTCACGATCATGTAAGCGACGTTATTGCGTGCAGTCACTGAATTTTTGCATCATACCCCGGACACATGGCAAAATTAATGCAATTTTGATCGAATGACATTGTGGGGTCGACGAATCCGCTTGCGGCGCTCGTATAACCACTCAAGACCGTGAGCTAATTAAATCCTATATCACTGAATGCAAATATATTAACTTTTTCGTGTGGCAGGGGTACTAAACTTACTACTTAGTCTACTAATTTACTTCTCCCTATGGGGCTCGAGCTGCCTTAGAATAACACATAACTTATTTTGTATATAATAATACTATTACCTTAATACAGTTAAGGTTCTAGTAAAAACGCGGAAAAGGCAATAAAATAACTTTAGTATAAATAAACACAAAACCACGAACAACGCACTTTCAATAATCACACAAACTTGTTTTTTACCTTCCAGTGAAAACAAGATTAGCGCGCATATTTACAAATGTCGACGAAACTGCACGCGAATCATGACAAAGAACAAAATTGCAATCTATCATGCGATTAAAAAAAAAAAAAAAAACGATTGCAGCATCTTCTTTGCGTCCTACATGACCAAGAAAGCCCGTAAATAAGTTGTTTCTCACCTGTCGATCGTATCCATACGTCCCACAATATCCGTGACGTACACATTTGAACACAAACTCCAAGAAGCCTCTCTCTGTCGAGAGAGGTCTATCGATTAATCGACCAGTCTTCGTTGGCTAGTTGTTACACATGTCACTCAAACCGAAGCAGGACTTGTTTCACAAATCCACGTAAATGCCGTAGTATCAAGCGAACACAAAAAAAACTACCCGAGACTACGGTGATGACAGAAATACGACGGGAAACAAGTCTCAAAAGTACCACACACGAGAGCAGCGGCGACGAAAGGCTTGACGTTGTCGACCCATCTCTTGCTCGTGTGCGCTCCCTGCGACAATGACTGGATTTCTTTTCGGTTTCCTTCCCTTCTGAGATGTCTCAGCGTTCCTTTTCAGACAGTCAGCAGCTCACACACAACGTAAATTTACCAGAATCGGAGCCATGTGGCATCGGCAGCATCGCAGCCGGTCCTTTCGAAAAGTGTGGGGTGCTGCGGAACTGCAGGCAGTCCCGCGGTTACGGGGATACTCATAAATATAAATTTGGTACTCTCAACCTTGGTAACGCGTTGTATATTACGTTTATATTATATATATAATAAATTGTACAAGACTGCGCCTTTAAAACGTATATTAATGCCGGATAAACGCGCATGAACACCACCGCGCCGAGGCACATTTTTTTCACGTCGATAGCGTATTCTCACGTAGTTGCGCCATGGACTTCCTTCCTCCGCCATTGTGACGTAACCTCTCAGAGCGCTGTGGCCTTCTTCTCTAGGAGGTGTTGAACATGCTCTTCCGTATCTCTCTCTCCACTCGTTGAGTTCTAGCACATCGCCTTGCTGGCACCACGAATCGTAAATGAAGAATCGGCACGAACGCTCCTTTCTGTATGCTACACAGAATAACACCTCACTCCCATTGAAAAAAAAAAAAAAAGAAAAGTGAGCTTTTAATTTAGATTTAAATTGAATATTGCAGCACCTTCCCGGTTTCCCAAAGATTTCAATCCGAAAAAGCTGAGTCATACACAGTGATGTCAGTCAGGTGCCCTCGCCACAGACACCAGGCTCGAGCAACTGATCTTGTGTCTGATCTTATGTCTAGTTAAAAGTTGAAACTATTACATTTTGTGTGAAGTGTGCGACCTATTTGTTGTCATGCTAATTTGTACATTTTAAGCTGTGCGTGTGCTGTTTCTTCTTTTTGTTTTGTGTGCGCCAATGTGAAGACCCGCGTGGTTGTTTTTGGGCACATTCAATAAACAAATTATTATTATTATTATGTCAGAAAACCTGTACGCTCATGTCATTAAGCCTGTCGCAGAAATCCGATACACATACCTGGCCATTAAGAAATACGTCGCAAACTTCCCTCTGCCTTTCGCCATATGGCTGCTCTAACCGAGGGTGTAGCGAAGGGTCTGGCCCATGCGGAGCGCAAGTTCGTCTGCTTCTTGTACAGAGGTTGTGATGATGCCAGAACGCCAAGCTCTTATTGGCTGATTGAAATAAGTATTGGGTTGACCGCAAGGCATCTAGCATTGGGCACATTCAGTAGCTGCTCCCTCAGCTCCGAACGGAGTAACTTGAGTCGGAGTTCTTGGAGCATTTATTGAATGGCAAAAAAGCTAGCGCAGCTCTTCAGCTGCTCCTACGCAGTTTCTGCTTCCTCCCCTGCGGCAGGCGGTCTCCGGGTAAAATGAAAGCAGACGGCGCCAAGCACAAGCACTTTTATTTGACACCGGCATTGAAGAAGTCTAGACACGCTCGTTTGAGAGAAAGCGAGTGACTGTAGACATCAATGCTGCTGTTCGAAGCAATCCAGGGTGATTGAGCCCTTTGTAGGGTGGTGAAAAAACATTGCGACACATGCAAAATATGTGGCCGAGTGAATCTACGCCGCCGGTTACAATACTCTCATACGGCCGGACGTTTGTTCTGCACTTTTTTACAAACTTCCTATAAAATGTATCCATATTCACACGGGAAGTCGGTCGTGTTGGTGGTCACGGTTTTGTCGGCTGAAGCAAGCATCAGCCACTGTCTCATTAACCCCAATTCAGCTACGCAAATAAAACATTATTCGGGATTATTTTCCGTGTGAGTGTCCAACCGCACACCAAAGTCACATTTATACCCTTGCCTTACTCTCTTCGGTACGGAAAGGACTATTGTCGAAAATCACGGGGTTTCCGTCCAAAGGTGATCAAAACACGGCGCCGAATGAACGTTCACGCGGTTTATTAGTATATCCAAAAGAAACGAAATACGCTTTAGGACATTTCCCATAAAGAGTTTGGGCTGGAAACGAAATCTGAATGCGTTATTCGTCTTACCTCGAGCACTTTTCCTTTAGAAAATCGAGCAAACCGCAGACCCACACCGCTGCCGACGTAGCTTCTCCCACTATTTTGTTTGTTTTTTCTCTTTCAGCACTGGAACTTCGTCAGCAATGCGGAAGTATCTTATTGCCGTGCTCTTTACAGTCCTCGCGCATTGTCTCAGGACTTGTTCTACGAGAGCACAACGCCTTTACTCCGAAGTAACGTGCACCAGAAGTTGCTTTTGCCGTCTAGTAGAAGGAGTGCGAGCTCCCTGACTCCTGGGGCGGCTACTGAACGCGCCCATTGAGTTCTACCCACTTAGTATTTTCCCAATCGAAGCCAATCAGAACTCGGCGTCGTTCTGACGCCACCGCAACCCCTGCGCAGCAAGCAGACGACTTGATCTCCGCATAGTCAGGTAACAAGGTGGAAATAGCAGGGCGTTTTTTTTGAACGCCCTGCCTCCAGAATGCGCTCGTTGCCGTTCGCTCACGACACTCACGAGACAACAAAGCGTTATCTAGGCTAGGAAGCTCGTGCTGGGGGCAGGAAAACCGAAACAACCCCCTGCCGTTCTCATCCTGCCGGGGACTAGAGTGGTGCTGACAATTGGGAGGTAGTCCGAGCACGTTGCCTCCCACAGCTTGACGTGTCAGTGTGCTGAGAGGATGCAGCACGCGGGGCACGATTGAGAGCTTCGAACTTCACGCAAAATGGAACCAGGGAAACGGAGCACGAGAGATGTGGGTGGAAGAGATTAGAAGATGATGAACTGATTTTTGCGGAAACTCGGATGGCCTCTTAGACGTACTGGAAGGTCGTGCCTATCCCGCCAGGATGCGGAGCACAGAGAGAAAAAGAGGGGTAGAAAAGCAAAAAGAAGAGGGCGGCGGCGACCAAACGATTTATTGTGTTGATTCGGCCACGTTGGGTAGTACGTAGTATTTTGATATAATAACCGAGAAAGCAAATGTGGCAAGCAAGAAATTGATAAACATATTTTGATGGGAGTTCAATGAGACCGACTTTTATGAATGCGACGGCCAGGGAAAGGTATCGGTGAGGTTCGACCGTAATATCAAATTAAAGCTCAAATAGAAACTAAACATCAATCTAAAAGAGTGAGGAAGATGAATGTTGCCGGTACCCAATCGACAGACTTCATGCCGTCTTTGTGCAAGTGCCATCAGTCAGCACCAGTAGTTTAGTGTATTAGACCCCCGCAGCTTGGAGCTTGGGGTGCAAATGCTCATTCCGCAGAACTCTGTTTGGCCCCCTCCTGAGTCTGTTTCAATGTGAATGAGCAGAGATTTGAACCAGCATCCTATTTGCTTTTGCTTTATCCTCTTGACTTCCTATCACACTCTGTGCCAAACCACCCGTCCCATTTGACTAGTTTCCTTGACCGCTTTGCACGACGCCGTCAACTTCACTGAGGTACTTGATCTCCATTCGAGAGCATGACTGTAACTGTGGTGAGTTGTGTGCTGTGCAGGTCTTGCAGTGGTGACAGCGCAGATCTTCAAGGAGCCGGCCACCATCAACTACCCATTCGAGAAGGGTCCCCTGAGCCCCAGGTTTCGAGGAGAGCATGCCCTGAGGCGCTACCCTTCCGGAGAAGAACGCTGCATTGCTTGCAAGCTCTGCGAGGCTATCTGCCCCGCGCAGGTAAGCAGGGAGACGTTCACAGGGTGCAATGAATTGGGGAGATCTTTGTGAAATGAGTTAAAGGAATTGGTGTCAGCGCTCAAATTTTAACCGAAGCCGCAAGCCAGTGAGCTGGCCTACAGATCCCCGGATGGTGGGCTCAAATCCCGGCTAAGGTGGCCACAGTCTGACGGAGGCTTATTGCCGAGAAGGCACCATGTAACTAAAATTTCAGGTGCACCTCGAAAGACTCTAAGGAGGTTCAAAATTGAGGCGCATCGGTAGTTTAGCCTCATGTTGCGGTACAAAAAACTTTGTTCAAATTGCGAGCTAAAAACACACTTTTTACGTAAGCCCCGTCAAAATATTAGGCACTGGAGAAATTCTCTGATATGCTTTAAGTCCTTATTTCCAACACTTTTTGTTCGCCTTTCGCCCATTGGCTGGCACGACACCACTAAAATACATGTTTAACGGAAGTTTGAGCTTGTTACATGCAGGCACCAATCTTTTCTGGCTCAATTCACGTCGAGCCCCTCAAATCCTCAAATAACACTCTCCATGTGTGGGTCTGTCCGCTTCGGGGCTTGGTATTCGGCGGGACTTTGGAGAAAGCGTCGGGTGCTGCTTGGAAGCTGAGATTTGAAGAATACGGTGGTGAAAGCGCTGCACCCTTTGCTCCAAATTGTGCCATGAACGCACGTCTGCTAAATGTTGTGCCAAAATGCCATTTTTGCTCAAAACTGTGCCACACCTGTGCCAGGATGAGCCCGAACAAAGCAAAAGATAATATAATATTGGTCAACATTATTATTGAAAGTAGAACGAAAGAAAAACGCTAAAACATCCATTTTGCAGTGTCTCTACTCACTGTAGCTACAATTAACTCATCTACCGCGCTGGCTGCGCACGTCATCGTCTGAACCTTCAGGTGATGTCTGTGATATCACTGAGCTAAACTCTATCTCACTAGTTACACGCAGCGTTGCCAAAGGTACTGGGGTGAGAGCATAACCCGAGCAGTTATTACTTCGAATAAATATCTTCTGCAATACTGCACCCAAGATAATAAGAATAGTGAGAAAAATTCTTAAAAAAGGGTTGTATGACGGCTGCTCTGATAAGACAGAACCAGGATCTCATACTCCTGATGAGATCTGATTTGCACCTTCGCCATATGCCTCCACGCCTTCGCTCAATGGCCGCTCATTTCGACCTTCACCACTTCACACAGGGCATGGCTATGTTGCTTTTTGCGCCATTAAACAAATTAATAATCAATCATAATAACCAACCACCTCACGCAGGCAAACATGCGTCGAGCTTCGCCGCGTCGCATCGGTACGTTAGGAGAAGTGGATTACGTGGGGGAACACCTATCGGTTAGCTTGATGGGCTCAGAAATGATGCTCAGTACTATTGCAGGTCGACCTTTTTTTTAGTCTGGATTGTAGGTCGACCTCCAACTTTAAAGAGTGGTGCCGACAAAGAAAAGGAAACAAGAAACGTGTACCAATATTTGAATAAGCAGACGTGGTAGTTCCCGCACAGCAGTCGATCGAAAGATCCCAAGCTCCACACAATTCTGGCTGCAATGCTGCTAACACTGGCAGAACTAGGAGTGTCACTTTTAATGCTCAACTTTAATTTTGGGTAACATTGTGGGGGGGGTTCCAGTCTATGATATTAGGTACTTAAGTTTTGTAGGTTCATAAATCTTTCTGGAACACATTTTTAATGATCGAGGTTTTAGCGGATACACTATGCGTCGTTTCATCTTGTGTTGAACTGCAGTGAAAGGCTAAGGGCCTCCACAGCCACTCAAGCGTCAGTTTAGAAGTGACGTCATGTGGCTCCTCGGGCGTGTATCAGTGCGCGAGTTAATTAAAATGGTGCTGGTTGGAAGTCCGGCGGGGACGCAGTGCAGATGAAACGTTCTTGTCTGCTGCGTTCGAGAAAATTCAGACTTCGTATACGTTCCTCGATTTACTGCGCAAGTGCAGGCATCTTTGGTGATCGTGGCTGGAACCTCTTGATGTACCGAGGTCGACGCGCAGCCATGTAGTCTCCATTTTGCGAGTGGGATGGGCGGAAGCAGGGACCACAGAAACTCTTCCCTTCACTTCTTGTGCCACAGAGAAAATGAGAAACTTTTCCGACATGCAATGGATCAGGGCCTGGAGAATCAAATGTTAACTCCAACCTAATGCCCTTGCCAAATGTCTCGCTCACGTGTCGGATTTGAAAAGCGCCAATGCCGGCCACTAACACTCCACCACAAAGAGCTGTTGGGAAGTGATTGACGAAGCACACGTGGCACAACAATACTGTTTTTGTCCCAACACCAATAAAAGCATGCGGCACTGACAACTAAACTTCTTTTTGCCGACAACACCAGACGTGCTGCCAATGACTTACCCTCCACATTCACCACAGCTCGGATGTTGTTTGAACAGGCGCTCTGTGCGACTCGCTCGGAGACTCACTACGAGGTTTGTAGTGCATGTTTAGAACAATTTACTGCGCTTCTCTTCCGAATGTGGATTTCGTTTGCAAACACTGTCTGGAAGCGACTTGGCGAAGAAATCACGGGAGACGCACCTGCTGATTCCGTGGCCATTACGGGGTGAGCGAAAGTGAGAGCGCAGTTACATTTGTCAGGGGACATTTTAAAGAAACAGCGAGGTAATTTTAAGGTCCAAATTAATACTTCCAATAAATATTTAACTCAGGTTTAGTTTGTGTCTAATAACTAGAAAACTTCCATTTTGGAGAAATCTTTTTTTGCAATACGTCACATCGGCCGTGGTGCCATGAATGTTGAATAAACGAATGTGACAGCAACGATAGCATTTTGCCAGCCAGAATTCTAATTCCTCCAAACGTGCTTCATATTTATATACTAAATACCAGATTTCAGAGCTTCATTAGAACATAGATTATGTTTCACTGGTATAAAACACGAACATTGCACTAAGGACAAAGGCTACACGCCTTCTACTACCAAAGTTTTTGACGCACTACTTTGCGAAGCATAAGGACGCCGTGTCAGGGCCGTGTCACAGCGCCTAGCCTTCCGCCGTGGTTCAACACAAGATGAAATTAAGTATAGTTTTTGCGGGAATTTTACATACGTATTGGTGGGCTACATTAAACATGAGCGTAAAAGAGGGAGTGTGAAAGGTACTTTATCTCAACTGAAGTATCTTGCTAAAATTAATTTTTCCACCATTTTTTTTAATCCCCATGGTGGACAGAATCTACTTCCTCAGCCTTATTTTTAAAACGACAGTTATGTGTCATGTTGTACTTTGTATGATTATTTATATGTATTATAATTAGAAAAGGTAATAATTAAAACATATCAGTATCAAAGATAAACCCTGCATTATTAACAAAGATTGGCTCATTTAGTTGTGCAATTATTGAATTTTGGAGTGATGTGCTAACTTACCTTGGGACCTGCTCCTTGGGACCTGCTCCAAGCTACTATTTTACCTCCTACAAAACCTGCTACAAAAAGTCAAATGTTGCTTCCGTCACTGGGAATAATCAGATCATTCGGCTGGTAGAAGTCGGGTGCTCTAAGTATATTCGGCTGGTTCTTTCAGAGCAGTCACAGATTTTCGGATGGCACCGTCCTTTGTCCACCGGTTACGTGACTCCAGTCACTTCAGCTGTTAGGTTGAAAGAGAAAGAAGTCGATATTGCCAAGATATTTAGTGTCAGACACAGCAGCGATCCTGCTGTGCTGCGCAGGGAGTACAGGAGGTGCTTGGTGCATGACAAAGGACCGCAAGACTGCCATTTTTTGTGTGGGCAGGGGGTGGAGGCGCTGGATGGACTAATGATCATTGGCTAAATCTTTTGTACTGGGCGGTAGCTTACCCCATCGCAGTGGAGTGGTTGCAGAAGTTGCCCTCGGTATCCAGTTCCAGATCTGATTCAGAGGATTGCAGTGCTGGAAAACGACTAGCCGAATATGCAGTGAGTTTCTTTGAAGAGATACTGGAGGCAGTTTCAAGATTTATATTGAAGTAATGCCAATCTCTTCAAAACCACCATTTATTTTCTGTCTCTTTCCATCTCCCTCTCTTTCTAAGTAAAATATAGCTCTCGAAATCAACTGATAAGTCAACCACCGAAACTGAAATGTCTACTAGAAGTTAATGTGGCAAACCAACCAAACTTGATAAGTAGCCAAAATTTTCAAACTAGGACTTCTACGGAGAGATCAACAGTGCTAGTGAGCTTGCGCAGTTTTGAATGCACCTGGTGTTCGCTTTTGCTTCATACCGATTAGCCTCTGTGTTTAACAGCCTACCTTTCTTTGTTGTTAGTTACTGAACAATCACAAATGTTCCACAGGCTATGCTCTTACCCTCTTCTCCAAAGAAAGGGCTAGCCATGTGATGTTGCAATTTGTGGTTCCGAAAATTTCTTAGGTGCATTATCTGCAGTTTGGTGTTACCAAACAGAACAGTCCTCTTAACAAAAGACTCAGGAGAGGACAGTAAAACCTCCATATCATTCTCAAGAAAACGCACATGTAGTTTCTGCTAACATCACAAGCTTGGAACACAAGCCTTGTTTCATCTGTAGCTTGTAAAACATTCCAGATGCTTGCACAAGACTGGTACTCATTGGCAACGCAGTAAAAGCATTAGCTGACAACAAGTGCTTAAAAAAGTGAAGCCCAAATATGTCTTATGACAGGTATGGAGTATTTAGGTATTTTTCTGCTTTTGCCGAACAAACTCTTCCCCAGAAACATTGACTTACCGGTGGCTCATCGCCGTATACCGGACAGTTCAGTCGTGTCCAATACCCAGTCAAAGAATGTCTGCTGGACCTATTCAGCTTCTAATGCTGCACATCCAACACCTGGTGTAGATTACAGGGAAGCTGTATAGCATATTCATTGGGACATACTGTGCCTTCAACCGCTCTAACTTTACACTAGGGCTGAATGACAGCCTACTTGCGATGCTGAGTCTTACGGTGTATGTTTAGTCCACTTTTAGGTACTTAAAAAGTTCAAGGCTTAGTATGTGCTCATATTTTCTTGTAGATTGCAATAATTTTAGTTTAATTAGTACACTGAAAAAACAACTTTTTTTTCAGTCCTACATGTAGAGCAATATGGAACCTTTTCCTCCGAATAAGCGGGTTTTTCGTGTGGTAAGACGTTGGAGATGTGCTTGACCAGTGTCCATGTGTCGTGCAGGCCATCACGATAGAAGCAGAGGAGCGTGCAGACGGCAGCCGGCGTACCACCCGCTACGACATCGACATGACCAAGTGCATCTACTGCGGTTTTTGTCAGGAGGCCTGTCCCGTGGATGCCATCGTTGAGGTGCGTTGTGGGCTAAAGCTGTGCTGAAGTATCGCCCAATACTAGGGCTATAGTTTGGATATTTTGACTAAGGCTCGATATCTGCCAGAATTCAGGAATGACCCCTACATGAGATAGAGGAGTGCTAGAAGAGCTACAGGGCAGCAAGTCGTTTGCCACCAAGCCTTTCTTTCGGTGTGGTGACAAAGATGTGTCACTACAGTCGCCGACCGATTTTTCAGACTTCGCAGGGACCGAAAAACGTCGGAATAATAGAGCAGTGCGAAAAATCTTCAGATTAAAAAACTTGCCTTTATTACGTCTAAGCAGGCTTAAAGAAGCCGTCAATAGTGCCTTGCTTCAGGTTATGCCTGCACGCCTAGTTTCAGGTTATGCCTTCATTTGCGTTCGGCAACTTTTTATTAGCTTGAGAATCACTGCTCTGTTTTCTAGCGTTATGGTCGAGTCCTTTCTGCGCCTCTTAGCGACACATCGCGGTGGCGGAAGAACATATGAGGCAATAATGTCCAAGTTACCATAGTTCGAAAACAAAACTCACCGAGACGAGATTGAAATGAGAAGTGCAAGTCCACAACTGCAATGGCGAATGAACAAAGCAAATTGGTAACAACAATAATGATGATAAGATGCGCAGCTAGAGAAAAGAAATTCCGTAGAGCGTCACCTAGTGGTAGGACTTGGCAATATTCAAGTAGCGCTGCCAAACCAAGCCAAATCATGTGCAGCCAACATAAGATCCAAAATGGCCGTTTCTTGGTGATGTTTCCCGCTGATTACTCGCGGCGATTTTATCCGAAAAATCTAACTTTCGGACTACAAGTTGTCTGAAGCATCGGTCATGAATATGCACTATTTCTATCGGGTCGGTCACAGTTCCTCCTTTAGGTCCGAAATATCGAACAAGTCCGAATTATTGGTGTCCGAAAAATCGGTTGACGACTCAAAGAGAAAGTCGTCTGCTTCTTGCGCAGGAGTTGTGGTGACTTCAGAACGACGCCGAGCTCTGGTTGGCTCTGATTGAAGGATAGTGGGTAGACCTCAAAGCGAGCTAGCTGCCTTGAGGTCTACCCACTATCCTTCAATCAGAGCCAATGAGTGTTTGGAGTTCTGATGTCACCGCAACCCCTGCAAAGCGAGCACTACTGAAAAAACGGGGCTGCATTTCTCTATTCCGGTGCTTCGCTGTAGGCTATGCTGAAGTGTAATAGCATTCCGAAGTTTCTTTTATTAAGGCCATATTCCACCGATTTACAGTAGAACCTCGTTGATACGTTTGGAGAAACCGCGAAACAAAAAACGTATGATCCAAACTCACCATTTTCAAGCACAAAAAAGAGAGAAGTTGCGAATGAGATCGAACAGCGTTTAATACAGCGCTTCACTTGCCGAAAGCGTCTGTCAGCTTCTGCTGGCGAGTGCCTTGACCTTTTGGAAGAAAACCTCCTTCTCCAGCGTCTGCAAGCTCTTCTCCGCACCACAGCTGCTCTTGTGGTTGAAGAAGCTACGAAGAACATCCAATGCAGTGAAGGCCTGGGTAAACGTAGTTGCCGGCAGCCCCCCCCCCCCCCCCCCCCCCCCCCCCCGTTCCTCGTTGTCGTCGCTTCCCGACACTTCACCTTGCCGTAGCTCTGCCACGATGTCCGAAACAGTTTGTGGGTCGCATGTTGTGAGATCATCATCCATTTCGACGAATTCGCCGAACGCGACGTTGGTGCCAGTGGACCGGAGCTCTTCGTCCATGTCGTCCTCATCGTTCACACACGGGTCGCAGTTGTCGCTCATACAGGGCTCGGCGGCTCCACTCGTGCATGGCTCCAACTCCTCTGCTCGGTCGACGGGTCCCGGTCGACGGCAGCAAGAATGTTCAACGTTTTCTTGAGGGATAGCGGCTTACGCTTTTGCGACGCCATCGCAGAACGAAACGAAAAGGGCACGGGCTTGGGTGGAACACGAAACCGAAGCGCCGAAGCCACCAAAGAAGGCTGCCAACGCAAAGAAAGAAACAAAGAAATGCCAGATTTATTCATTTACTACAATCGCGCTACTGCCACTGCTCCCTTGTACGTCATAGTCTAGAGTTACTCTTGCACACTCTTGCAAACGGTGCTTTCAGCCCTTGGAACAGTGCCTCAAAGAGCTTGCTGGAGTTGCCGAGAGCGACCCATAATCATGTGTCTACTTCGGAAACGCTTCAAATGAAAAGCCATAAGCGAACATACTGCTACGGTGTTGACAACTGAAGAGAACATGAGCTCGCACGGGCAAACGATCAGTAGACAGCTGTATTTGAGTTTATATTTTAACGCTGTTGCTTCGGTTGCTCGTTACGACAGCACTCGTGCCACTTTCGCCAGCGGTGGCACTTGAAAAAAGGAAAGTGAACGACAGCGTCAGATGGACGCGCTGTTGTCATGAGCGGTTAGTACGCTGCCGCCGGAGTTACAATCGCTCGGAGTCCTTATCGCTCGGAGTCCTTTGTTATTATTTCATGGGAAAGATTCTTTGATGAATCGAATAATGAGCTGAGACAGTAAAACCGCACTGTGTGTTCTGCAAACGACCTTGTGCACCCGGACGGCTCTCGGAAGTTGCGGAGAACAATAGACGCAGCGGTGGCATTATCAGCAAGCACTGCCAGACCGTTCCGCGCGCGCGCGCCGTGTATGCCTCGGCGCTGGTTTGTCGAGACCGGATGTTCGGAGCTCCGAATATGCGAGTGGAACGTTGATTGCCAAGAAAACATATAATCCGATCGACATTTGGCAGAATGTTGAGCTTATTTTCCAGGAAATCGTGTTATCCGGGAACGTATGAACCAGAAAAAAAACAGCGCAGCTCTATGGGACGTTTTCCGTGCCCTCCCTCGCGAACGTATAAACCGGGAACGTATCAGCGAGGTTGTACTGTATTTAAGACAAACATTGTTCCCTCACTCAGCCCTCGGCCATATCGGAGCAAGGCCACCTTGGCTCTGTTCCTGTCCAAACACTCTTCTCTCTTTTCCGGCCTCTCATTGGCACGAAGAACACATTGAGCTTTGGTGGGTCACCACTTCTGTTCGGCAATGTCCCCTACAGTCCTCTCTTTTCTCTTGCGAGGCATTGTGAAGACGACCGGAGCTCCTCCAGTAAGCCCGTGACTTCTGTCATAGACCCATTTGAGAGTGTGTTCTCTGTTGGAAGCCAGCTGTGGAATCCCCGCACAGTGGTGCAGACGAGTACAAGTGCCTTGCATTCGATAGTGCCCGGCAGCGTGAGCCCTCGTGCGGCGGGGACAGAAGTCGAAGGTACCCACTCGTGCTACTTGCAGGTCCCACGGCGTTGGTTGGCGAAAGATAAGTTGTCAGATTTGACAGCCATGGCTTCTCAAGCCTGCCCCTTTGGCACAGTGGTCGAGCGTCGGGCTCAAAATCTTGGGGTCCCCACCTACTAATCAACCGCACGTGCGCATTCGTTTCATGTTACCAATCCGAATTTTCCTGGGAGAGCTGCCGAAAGAAAGGCTATCCCATTGAAAACTGGATAACTAAAAAACGACCAGAGTATGATTGTGTCGATAAATTTGTCATACGAGTCAGCTTTTCGTCACTTATTATACCCAAATGTAGGAATGGGTTTAAGTGAAGGAAAATTAAAACCAGATTTTTCCGCCCCTCCCTTTTAAGAAAATGTATATAGAAATCGGAAAACAGTCTAACCCGAAAACAACCCTCGTCATGCCAGTAAGAGGTTTCCATTTTCCCTCCTTTCTTTTTGTATCTGTTTTCTTTAAAGGACCAGTTTGCAGATGCAAATAAAATTAAAGATCCAAGTTTGAGTCAGTAGACATAGGCTACACACATAATCACTGAAACATTGCACAATGTAACATTTTATATTTTATAGTTTCAATATATAAATATTGAAGTCTTTCTTGGCACATTGCATGCCAGGTGTGATCCCTGGAAAAACCTTTAAACACTAGCTATGCTCGGCGTCGACTTCTTTGTGCTACGTTGTCGAGGCTACCATAGCCGCCACAGAACCGTCCTCCTGGACTGCTGTGAGACTGTGCGACTCAGTCTCGCATCTTATTCATTTGGCGTTTCCTTCGCTTTCGTGCAAAGGAGATGCCAAACGAAGCCATGCACTTGCGCTAGTAGGTTTGACGCTGTCAGAGCACTGCAAAAACCAAGCTAGCCTCGACAACATGTCACAAAAAAGTTGATGTCGAGTGTAACACTCTGCTATTGCATTATCCGTATCTGTTTGTACACATTCAGCCTCGTTAGTTGCAGGAACATCGTACCACGGCACTACTAGCACATCTGGTTATTACCATAAAACTTGCACGAAATGCTCTCTTAGATGTGCATGTATTACAGGTCACACTTGACTTCGACAGTTTTTGACATAAACCTAGCGAAGTTTCAAAGCCTTCTTTCGCTTTATGTGAACTAGGGCTCATTGTTTTTGGTACGTACCGTCAAACCCCAAAGAGGAATCCCCACCCTATCCAGTTTGATCAAAATCAGGGAAAACCGAAAGACCTTGAATTGGAGATATCTTTGGATGAGAAACACCCGGGCTTTATGGGAAGAAATCTTTATCTGCAGCTGTATTTTGTGTTGATGCAAAACACAGCTTGCATCAAACTGTCCTTATCTCATTTCCTTGTCTTATTGGCACCGGGATGTTTTCCAGGTATTTGGGTCAAGCTTGTATTCCTCGGAGCTTGAGGAATCTTCTGGCCGTGTTTCCTAGACATAGCCTCCGTAAACGCCAATTTTAATCTGACACCGAGGATAATGCCTGATTTTTTTCCATGGAATAGTAAAGCACCAAATTGGAGGGAAAAATTAATCCTGAAAGGATACCCCCAACCTTCAAGAAAAATAAACCCAACAAACATGAAACCTTAGATCTTGAAGCCTCAAAATAGTCAATGGCAGCAAAACTTGTTACTTACTTAGTAATTGGTAGATGCAAGTTTCCTTTGATGTATGAATATTTGTGCGCTGTTAGGGTATTTTGTCTTTCTATTACTGCCCTTAGAGCAAACGTTTTGAAGCCTCCACCGCTGCAGCTTGTAGAAATCCCTATTTTTGTTTCATTTCTGTGGGGATCGCAATATTGCGTGCATCATTCATTGTGGCGTGTGCCCGCGTCCCACCCATATTATTACAACCACGCAGAAATTAGGAGATAACTAAACAGTCCGTGCCCGCACACCTGGCCAACATTGCCCGAGAAACAACAAAATAAGGATACGCTTTCGTATACGAAAGATGGCTTCAGGCTCGACTGTTCACAAATTGGATTACGGGACAAACCGTACGATAGCTAAACATTGCAAATTCATAAACCAGCTAAGGCATGCATAACATAATCCATTATAACTTCCGAAATTAATGTGGCTCATGACTAGGGTTCCGTGTTTTCAATAAATACCGTTAGACCATGAGAAATAACCCCGAGACAAGTTTATTGAAATCAGGGAAAATCTTAAAGCCCAAATTAGAGCTGTCTTTCAGTGAGAAAAATCCAAGCTATGGGGGGGTAAAAAATTCCAGCTACAATTCAATGGCACAGAAAGAATAAAACATGAAGGACAGACAAAACAACACATCCATCCTTCATGTTTTATTCTTTCTAGTATTCAAATTTAATTGCAGTTTGATACTTTAGAACCATGTTCCGGATATTAAAAAAACGGTGCAGGATGGCCAAAAAAGCATGCTTTTTGTGTAAGGCTCGTCAAATTGTGAGGCGCTGGAGACAACCAGCCTTCTGCGTTAAGTCCTTATTTCAAACTCTTTTTGTTCACGTCCCGCCTGTTGAAAAGCATGCGGGAAGCGCCTCAGCACGCACTTTGTATTGCTGTGCCGCAGCGTTCTTCCGCAGCATAAAGGCCGTCTGCTTTTGTCACCGTCACCGCAGCAACGAACGCCAAATGACCTTTTCGGGCGGCGTGTGTATCCCTAAGGAGCGTGGTAACACACACCACCCCCCCCCCCCTGCCTGTATTTACGCCGCTTCGCGGCGACAGTTTCGGCTGCTCAATACAAAACTTAAACTTTGGCTTGCAGACGGCATTTGGAAAATCGGTGTTCGTTGCTATGGTGACAACGATGAAAGCTGACGGCCTTTATGCTGTGGAAGAACACCACTGTGGCACAGTGATACGAGGTGCATGCTGAGGCCCTTCCCACATGCTTTTTCAATGGGCAGAATGCAAACAAAAAGAGTTCAAAATAAGGACTTAACGCAGAAGGCTGGTTTTCCTGAGCGCCTCATAGTTTGACAAACCTTACACAAAAAGCACTATTTTAGACCGAAGTTTGGAGATAGTTTTTTTTTCACAACATGGGTCTAAAGTATGAATGTGCCAATTTAATTCGGTGTTTACCTTGAACACAGCCGCACCGATTGATCCGTGAGGCAGTTTCTTTGTTTGGAACCAGAATCCTTATCTCACTTCGTTATTTTATCGGCAGCAGGTCGTTTTGCAAATATTCGGGTCACGCGCATGTTTCCTGGAGGTTGAGAGATCCAGTAAGCGTGTTCCATTTTCCTCAATATAAGCACCAACAAACACACTTCTTATCTTTTCCGACATTGAAAAACACTGAATTAGTGAGAAAGTAATAAACCCTGAAAAATAAGCACCGAATTTCAAGGAAAATGAACCCCTAAAACATTGAACCCTCCTCATAACTAGAACACCAGTGAGCTGTCATAAATAGTAGAAATTGGTTCTGCCAAAGAGTGAATCAAGTTGCTTAGATACACTATGAGCTACAATGTTGATATAATGATGTAATCACAATCTTCGTTAAAGTCCCACTTTTCATACTGAGGGCACTCTTTTTAGGGGTAGCTGCTTACCCTGATGGTCTCTCACAACAATAGAAGTTTGTTGCGGTAGACAAAAGACTATAAATTGTGCTAATTAGCTCACTGTTAATGTGACAGCAAATCTTGCCATTGTCTTCTGCTCTTAAATCCAAAAACTTTCTAAAATGGTACAACAGCCAACTCGAACTGGATTTATATTGGCAATCAGTTGTCTTGAAGGGACATTATGCCTAAAGCATGATTGACCTTTTATGGAACATTTGATTGCACACACTGATTGCATACATGATGTGAAAGTCCATCAGCATCGGAAGAAATCTAAAGGAATGACACACAATTAGGAGGCTTTCCTTCAATGCCATGATCTTGGGGTCATTCGGCCGGTCAATAGCAAGGCAGTCTTTGATCCCCATGTTCGTGGCGAGGACCTGTTGACCGCTGGTAGCTTCTTACCGCCGTCTAAATTGCAGCCTGGGCAGTCGCTGTTACATTGTGTGTTGAATCGGGTCCTGTTGCAGACGGAGTTGGAAGTTTGTTGCCGGATTCATACTGGATTATGTTGCCGGTCTTCTCCCCTTTTTCCTTGTTCCCGCCATCTTCGCTGTTCGTGGTAGTCGAAGATGCTGCATTGCGAGTCGCAGGACCCATTGTTGGGATGAGCGGACGATCGTGTTACGGTACATTCGGGAAGTTCGCTGTTGATTCCACTTCTGAGTTGTTTGTGCCGGACATGTTTTAAGGAAAATAAAACTGGGTTTATTACTTTAAAAGGAGGAACGGCGTAGGTCGGCATGGGGCCTCCGCTCCCGCGGCCTGAACAAGAGTGTCTGGGGGTGTTCTAGTCCTACTCTTCTTGGGGTCGTGCTGCGTGCGTGTGTGCCCTGTGGGCTTCGGGTATGTGATGCCATCTTGTGCACTGGTGGCAAACCGTGGGCTAAACAAGTTATTCCAGTCTCGTTAATCTCTACAGTAAGATAAGCAGCTGAACTTTGAATATGGGATCAGTACTCCCGATTTTCCTTCAACAGAACTTCCCGAATTTTGAATAAGTATTTGGCATCGGTGCTTTGCCATTAACACTGGAGGGGCAGTCATGTCGATCACGGTTGCCGAGAAAGGGTGAAACTGGGACAATACCTACAGCAGCTGTAGGGGCAAAACCCATCAGCACCAGTTCTGTTCGTTACCTGCCTTTGAAGTTGAAAGACAAAGACATTGATCTGTATATTGTTGTTGTATTTTCTGACTGCATGCTAGCTCGAGTGGTGCAGTTGTGATAAGTACTCGGGCAAGCTAGCGATTGTGATACAAACGGCAGACAAACACAAAGGGAGCTTCGTGAACTCTAGAATAAAATGTTTTCTGGATGCCCCTGCAGATATTGTCCCATCTCGAAGGACTCGCTAAATGTGACTCGCTCAGTAAACACACGATGCGGGTCCCTCAAAGAGGCTTTAAGGTTACATATCCGGTGTCCTCCGTGCACAGGGTCCCAACTTCGAGTACTCGACAGAGACCCACGAAGAGTTGCTGTACAACAAGGAGAAGCTGCTGGACAACGGAGACAAGTGGGAGCCCGAGATCGCCGCCAACATCCAGGCCGACTACCTGTACCGATAGACCCACCGTAGCCATGGCGGCACCCCCTTCGGGGACTTCTCGCTCTAGGCGTGTACATACACGAGGATGCATTAAAAGTTAGACCTTCCAAATCCAATTTTTGTTTGTGCCCCTGGTCTACTTTATTTACTATCGGTATGGTGCCTGAAACGCATCTCCAACTTGACTGTTTACTCAATCCTCATTTTTGGTTCCTCGATTTTCGCCTGATGACGTCATGCTCGTGTCACGGTGCTGCCTGCCACGGTCCCGGCAGTGGCACGTCGGCGGAGCTGGATGCAGTGGACGCGTTTTCTACCGTAGGTCACTCCCCAACTTCACAGTACACGGAAGCTTCGGCCACCGTGGGTTGGGACGCCGTGACGATGGCGAAACTTTGCATTTGTTTGTCTTTTTTGCTAGCGCTTCTGTGACCAACTGCCAGGTTCGTGGCACCCAACAGAACGACGCACCGGCTCTTGCGGTGAGCCATTTTGGGACCATTTTCAATGCATGGGTGGAAAGGACGCTGAACACGCAGGTTGAAGACAAGTTTCGTCTTCAACCTGCGTCTTCAACCTATGAGCCCCAGTTTTTATGTGCCCGTTTATTTAGTGGGGAAACTGAATTGGAGGAGAAGAGGATGGAGGAGAAGGAGGAGGGGCATACCCCCTCCGTACCCTCTCCTCCTCCTCAAGGGCTGCGCTGTAATTTCGCAGCACAGAGATATTTTGTTCTTTTCTACGTCCTGCAGCAAGTTTCTAGGCCCATTCCTTGGTAGTTGAACACTGCGGTTTTTCTGTTTATTGTAGGTCATGTAAGATGAAGAGGGTGTACCTCTATCATACCCATTTCTTTTAAAGTTGTTTTCACTGGTAGGGAACTTATTTTAAGGGTTTGCTTTCCTACACAGTCATACACAAATTCTATGTCTGTCAACAGATTAGTATGTTCAGTTGTGTAAAACACACGGTCCGGCCTATTGCACTATTTTTGACGACCTTCATGGGCGTTAGCCTTGTGCAAAAAAAATGCACAAGGCTAGCCCTTTTGAGTCGTCTTACGGACATTTTAAAGCACTAGGTAATGTTTTAATTTGCCTAGACGCCATGCAAAATTATCATCTGAAAGTTCTTACATTCCCCACTTTTCTTGAACATCAACGCCTTGGTGCATGCACTGAAATGAGAATGTCAACTGAATAACAACGAAGATCGCAATGTTCCCCGGGAATATTTTAGATGACAGTCATAAAAAAATGAAAGCTAATTACAACACCCTGTAACGCCGAATGAGAGCGCAGCTCTTGAGGAGGAGGAGGGAAGGGCACTGAGGGGAGGTTGTACCCCTCCTCCTCCCCTCCTCGTCCTCCCCTCATCCTTTAAGCTCCTTATCCCCCTCCTCCCGTCTTCCCTTCTCTTCCCCCTCCTCCTCCCTCTTCCTCTCCCTCCTCCTTGCTCCTCCCCCTCTCCAACCCTCCCCCTCGTCCTCCTTCCCTCCACCTCCTCCCCGCGCGGTGCATTATGGGATATTTCCCATAATGCACCGCGCGGTGACGCCGACGGCGACGCCGCTCAAGCCGGAAACGGGCGCCTAAGAGCTGTGCTCTAATTATAATATCATTAAGCAGTAATTAAAGAGGCCATGAAATGAATTTTGGGCTGGGATAAATGAATTTAGCTTGGGATTTTACTAATAGCATATAGTTTAGTGAGTCAAAAGAAAGAAGGTAGAAGAGCCTGCTTTTCAATACCAAAACTTGAAAACAGCGGACTATTTCATACCTTCTTTCCTTCGAAAGCCCTCCGCCTTTTCACTGTGATATATCCGCGGGACCCAAAGCACGTCGGCCGACCCCAGCTCACTCATTGGGCACGAGCGTATCTCGCTGTACTCCGTTCACCCCTAAGCTGAAAAGTGCGTTTCTGGAACGACGCGCTTGCCGGACCAGTCAGCCGCCTCCTTCTCATCCCGACACCATTCTCTGCGCGTGGGTATGCGCGAGGGAGCGTGATCACGTGGCAAAAGATAGAAGTGTGGCTTGCCCAACAAGCAAGCAGCTTGCACTGTCAGCTTAGGAGTGAGCGGAGGATGCCGTATTTACTCGAGTAATAGCCGCTCTGTTTATGAAGAAAACCTGAGAGTTCTCTTTTCCGCAGATTGCCAATCACCGCGATCGACAGCATGATTCCAGCGGTTTACAAAACAGAGATAACGTCTTCGCGCGAAGATACCATCTGTGAAGATCGCATTTGTATGGAGACTCCTGTTCTCGATCTAGTTATTCGCTATGTTATTTATGCGCAACGCGATGATTGGCTGTATATGTGCTTTGCAGGTAACTAGAAGCAAGGGCTTTGTTCATAAATATTTCGGCTATTACTCGAGTAAATACGGTAGTTGCTCGTAGTACACTCAAAAATGAAGTCTGCGCTGTGGCATTACGCAATGCGAAGCGTCATGCTTTCATTGCGTAATGCCACAGCGCAGACTTCATTTTTTGGTCTAAACAGATGTTACGCCTCATCATTAGCTGAGCTGATTTCGTAGATCTCAGAGAAAGGCTTTTCGAGTGTTTTGCGGGTAAGTAGACGTGCAGGCATTTCTTACAGTGTACTGCGGAAGCCACGGGCGGGAGGGCGTCTTCTAAGGGGAGAATGGTGACGTCCAGGTACATCAGGAGGGAAAGGAATAAAGTTCCTCCTTTGCCTCTTCTTGAACTGTTTGGTAACGCTGTGCGATTTGTGAGTTGGATAAGAGAAAGAATCAGCTCAATATAGGCTTCATAAACATGCAGGGAGGTAGAAACAAAATAAAGTGGGGATTGGTGAACAATTAGATGCTGAAAATTTCACAATATATGGGGTAGCAGAAACTCACCTTAGAGATCAAGAGGAATCACCGTATATTCCAGGCTACTCCTGGATGGGGTGCAACCGGAGGGGAGGTGAGCGCAAAAGCGGAGGTCTAGGCATGTTAGTTAAAGGGACAAGACTGGGAAAGAGAGAAGGACAGCTGCAGAGAAGGCTTACTGCTGAAAGGTAAGGTAACAGGTTTAAACACTCTTCCGATGTTTGCTGACCTGAAAACAGGAAATGACCCATGGAAGGAAAATACAAAACACTTTACATGCATATCGAGAAACGTCGGAGAAATTAGCCTTAATTAGGAAATAATTATCATAGGAGACATGAATGCCCACTTAGAAGAGTTAGAAGGATTTACAGATACAATCGGAAAGTTGCTAGAAGATTTCTGTGATGCCCTGGACCTAGTGTTAGTTAATGCACAAGTAAAATGCGACGGGAAAATAACGTGGGAACGAAACCATTCACACTCAACAATAGACTGCTGCCTCATGTCCCACACTGTATGACAGGCTAGGAGGTATGAAAATAGATGAAGGTACAAAAAGCTTAGGGAGTGACCACAAAAGAATTGGAATTAAATATGGCGCATCCGAACCAGAACAATAAGCTCAGAAACGAGCGGGTAAGCCAAAAGTGAACCTCAAATACAACAAGTACTATCTAAAAGTATTGAGAATATAGTGTCCTAACAACCAGAAAGAGAATGGACGCATGCGAATCTAATAGGAATCCTTAAGAGGGAATTAGAGAAGCATCGAATTAACCAAAGAGGAAAGCAAAAACAAAGACACAAACCAAAACGCTGGTGGGATGAGGAGGTCAAAGCAGCCATGTTGCGGCGCCAAGAGGCATCTAGGGAGCATAGGTGGGCAAAGAAAAGAGGATTCTTACGAGCTGAAGTAGCACCAAAATGGGAGAACTTCCATGAGCGGAAAAGGGAAACATCAGCTTTAATACAGGACAAAATGGGGGGTGCAGGAGTGCAGTGGATGATGGAAATAAATTGAAAATAAAACAAGATAGGTATGCGGCACAATGGTTTTGGGGGCACATTAAAGTGACAACCCCCAAATTTTTATTATTATTTTTTGCCAGGTGATTTATTATGGTGACAGAAGACTACCCAATCAATATTTTGCTACAGCGTCACATATATTTTTAGTAAAGTAAAAAAAAAAAAAAAAAACGCAACAGCTCGAAACCGGACTGGGGAGGAAAAAGAAATTTAGAGGGGGAGAGAGGTGGGCGGAAGTCACGGTGGCTGTAATACTGTTTCCTTCCCAAACAACGCATTTGCACCTTTTTAGAAGCCAGAAACAATGAGTATCTTATTTCTTTTCTATCTCTAATTTTATCTGTGCGCCTTCGATGACCTACGACTTTGATTACATTTGGTGGTCATGTCTAAACCTTAGAAAACGGTCCGTGACCACGGAGAAGAGTTAGCGAGACTCAAACCGGCCAGTTCTCGATCGGCGGTTTTCGGGCGGAAAGAGACCGAATTTCGAGCCGCAAATTCTGTTCTGGATAGTGGGGCTCTCATATGTCATGTACAACTAAAAACCTCGGCGAGCATAAATACCCCGTCAGTGTCCTTATAAAGAGCATGGAATACAGGGTTTCCAACACGTACTGACCACGCAGGAGGGGAGAAAAGTAGAGGAGAAAGAAGCACGGGAATATATTAGGCGGATAGTCGAAGATGTTTCTCCCAGCTTGAGCAGACGACATGCCCATAGAACTCATTAAGACGCTATGAAAAACAAGCAAATTGAAGCTACGGCATGTGATTAATCAAATAATTATGGCAGGAGAGGTACCCATTGGTTGGAAACTAAGTGAGATGATACTAATATATAAAGGCAAAGGAAACAAAGTCGACATTAAGTCATATCGCTCAATAACGGTAACTTCAGTTCTATACGGATTAGCTATGTAGATAATAAAGCGGAGCTAGGAGTGGGCAGAAGATATGCTAACACTGGGTGAGCTCAAAAACGGATTCCGAAGAGATAGAAGATTGGAAGACAACCTATTCGTCACACACAATGTATAGAAATAGCAATGAAGGACCAAACTCCTTTATGGTTAGCTTATTTGTACTCAAAGGAGCGTACGATAATGTGAGCCAGGAGAAACTCTGTGGTCAGCTGAAGGAGTATAACTTAGATGCAAATTTGGTTAGGTTTCTTCAGCAGTTGTACAGAGACAACAAGGTAGTTGTAACATGGGAAGCAGAAACTACACA